TTTACGTTATCGTTAAAAAATTTAGCATTGAACTTTGAAGGTTTTTGATAACGAAATAATACGTATCGAAATTTAACTGTTAAATTTCGATTTCAAAGGGTTGCGACACAATCGATAACTTTCGAAATCTAACGTTGTGATATAATTTTGAAGGTTTTCGAATAAATATAATTACTGATGTTATAGTTTCTATGTGAAACTTGTAATATTCTTTGTGAATATCTATAAACTTAATGTAAAATTCCATTCCCTTTTAAATCCTCATACTTTTAACCTCTTTCAAACAATTCTGCAATATTAAATCTTTTACTTCTTATACTCTTCCATAGTATAAACTTTCCAACTTTAACATATTTGTCTAACTGTTTCATGATCTTTTAGACAATAGTTTTCCTGTTATTAGTTGTTAGTTTATCATGTTTAGTAAAGGTAATCATGATCTACAACATGTTTTTAAAATTGATTTTGGATTTTTGAGGTATTTTGACTTTTTAAAATTTATGTAGAATCTATTCTATATATAGAAGTAAAAAAAGTATCCAGTTATGTGTATATTCAATCAAAGAATAAATCTGGATAGTCAAAAAATTTTGGGTTTTAAGTAAAATAATTTCATCTTCTATGAAAAACTATTTCAACTTTTTTCTCCAAAATTATAATTTCAGACTTCAAAATAATTTTGCATGCAAGTATAACTTGGACTATGAATTATATATTATAATATAATAGTTATGAAGTTTTTAATTTAGAAAATCAAAAACATCAGGTACTTACAGAATGTAATATAGATAAAATTAAGCAACAATAAATAATATACCTATAAATAAATAATAACTCTTGAAATAAAATATTTACTTATTAAGGTGTTTTCATTAATATAGTGTTAATTTCTTAAAAATTTTAAACATATTATTTATTTGACCAATAAAAATAGTCTTGGAGGGTTTGATAATTATATAAATTTATTAAGAACGAACTATATTTAATTTGCAATTAATAGAAAACATTAGAATAATATAGTATGTGATGAGATGAATGATATAAAAATAAATTTTATCTTGATTATAATATACTAGACAAAAATTCAAGTTTGTATTTGTAAAGTATAGAATAACTAGTCAATTAATAAATTTTACTATTTGATTAAACTTTTGAATATAACTCATTTTTTCACAATGTTACTAGAATAATTATAATTATGATATGTAAAAAAATGTCATTATATTTTGACATCATAAATTGGTGATTATGTAAAAGACTCTATTTCAAATAATATATATACTACAGGAATACAGAAAAATTTCAATATCAAATTACAAATTTTTATCACAGTATTATCAATTATTCCAATTTATTTCACTAAAAATTTTTATAAGAAAACTACACAAATTATTATTTTTTTATTATATTTAACCATTATTTTATTTGTTAAAATACATTATAGTAAGAAATTTAAGTGATCCTTTACTTAAATTCTGTCTATCATTATCTAAAATCTTGTTATATGCAGAAAACTTCTTTTAACTACACAAGATGAAATTGGTAATCAAATATAATTACATGCTATTTTTTTAAAAAAGAAAATTGTAATGAAACCTTATCCCAAAATTCATTTAAATTGGTAAATTCCACAGTATTTAAATTGATATTAATATAGATTGACCATTCTTGAATAAGACATGTTAATGGATTAACTAGTTCTCTAATAATTTAATAAGAGTAAATATCTCAATTAACAACTGTTAAAATTAAAAATCATGGATCAAAAATTTGTACAGCTTTAAATAAAGAATATGTAGGATGTTGTAATTCATGATTTTCAAGTTTTTTATAAGTTATATAATATACTTGTTGAAATACTGGACAGAATAATGTTAACAGAATGTTCAATTTTTACAATACTAAATTTTTAAGGGAGCATGGGTATTAATTAATCATTTTCAAATGACCTTATTCAACTTCTTGAAGACCTTATTGATTATAATATATCAATTGAAGTTGGTGAAACATCTAATAATCAAAATTTTAAAATTCATTCATATATTTTACAATCCCATAGTCCTTACTTTAAAAATGAATCAATTGAGACAATAAAAATTTTAATATATCCCAATAACATTTTTTCATATAAGCTACTAATCTGACACAATTAATAATGATAAATCAAAAGGAATTATTCACTGAACTAGAATTTGAATTATAAGTTATCCAATTATACAATTATTGACACTTTCCAAATAATCAATATGGATTAATTTTATTATACCATTATAACTAAAAAGGATATTAACTATACTTCATGCTCTACTATTTGTGGTTTCATCTATGATAATTGAAACTCATTTATCGCAAAAATATTCTTTAAGTTGATCAACATGATTTTCAAATAATTTTGATAGATATTCACAGTGCAAAGTATCTAATTTTGAAATAAAATTTCCTTTACAACAATTTTCACATAATTACTTTTGAAGCTTATTCACTTTTTCTAATGGAATATTGGCCATTACAAATGCTTCTACTAAATTATTTATAATAGTTTTTTTTGCTTCAAATGTATTAATTAAAGTTTGAATAGTTGGTTGTCTCTTTTATTTGTTGATTTTCTTTTTCTTCTTTAATATGAATATGTGTTTTAGAGCCTATATGAGCAGTAATAATATTTTTGGTTTGAAAATGATCACAAAAATGACACATAAGTTTACCACTATTGACAAAAAAATGATCAGAAAATTATCGTACACATGAAATAACAGTAATAGTAGAAGAGGGTGACATCTTGATGATAATAATTTTTAAGAGGATATTTATTCCAGCAAACATAAATCATAATTGGCTATCTGCACAAATATTACACAAAAAGTACAAAATTTATAAAAATTCCACTTTATTCCATTATACAGCAAAAATTCCGATTTATTCTTTTATTATAATAATAAAAATTTTTCCGGGTCCCTGACACACTGTTCCACCTTCCACGTGAAAAGGACGACCAATCAAATTCAGGCAAGGCAGACAGTATATAATATCAATTAAAAGAGACAATGTGTGTATTTTACTACCAGCAGTATATCAGAAATCGCTCGTGGGTTTTATTATAATATTGAATCTCGAAATTTACAATTTACAGTTATTGAAGTTATTCAGATGATTATATATATAATAAATGACTAAATACTTATGACAAATAAATTATATTCATCGTCTTGGTCTTGGTTTAACAACAAATCTATTTGGCCTTTTTCTGGTCTTTCCTCCTTTGGCCAAAACACCAGTTGGACTACAAGGATGCCTATTACCTTTACTCTTTCCTCTACCTCCTCCATGAGGATGATCACAAGCATTCATTGCAACACCTCTTACGGTTGGTCTAATGCCTAACCATCTTGACCTTCCGGCTTTGCCTAAAGTACTATGTTGATGATCCGGATTTGAAATTGTACCAATTGTTGCACAACAATCCACATGAATCAAACGAACCTCAGTAGAACTAAGACGTACTTGTGCATATCCCTTCTCACCTGTACGAACTAGTTGAGCTGAACATCCAGCCGAACGAACCAATATTCCAGGTCCGTTAGGTTTCAAACCTATACAATGAATAAATGTACCAACTGGTATCATTTTCAATGGCATACAGTTGCCTTTCTCTACAGATACGACATGAGTAATATCGCCACTTGTTTGGGCGACTTTACGAAATGACTGAACAATGGTACCAGGAGGAAAGTCATGAGGTGCAATAATATAACTTTGTTTTCCTGTTAACGCATTTGTGAGTAATGCAAGATGAGCGGAACGATTCGGATCATATTCTATGCGTTCAACTACATGCGGATCTCTACTCCAACGATAGAAATCTACAATGCGAATACGACGTTTGTGACCTCCACCACGATGACGCACGGTGATGCGTCCATGGTGATTACGCCCACCAGTTGCACGTTTGGCAACAGTGAGTTCTCGTACTGGTCTACCTTTCCACAAATGATCATTAACAGGCCGTTTAAGCCACCTTAGACCAGGTGTACGAGGTTTATAGGTTTTGAATTGTCCAGGTACACTCGTAGCATATGTGCGTGTGAAATTAGTGAAATGATTGAATTTTACAAAAGGAGATTCACATTTGCGTGAAAATGCTGCTGAATAAGAGCTACAATTAATAGCCGGAGGTAAACTGAATTTTGTTAGGTGATGACTATTGAAGTTATTTGAATAATTAGAAAGAAGTGATGAAACCGATTTGAAAAATTTATTACCAAACATTATACAGTATAACTATATACAAAATTAAATAAAACAGATTAACAGATTTTCAATTTTTCCGCTGTGACACAAGTGAACCAAAACATACATTTCATATTTATTATTTAGCATAGTAGCATAGTAACAAATTATATCAATTATAAGAAATGACAGAATCAAATACGCAAGAAACAAAATCAAAAGGGTATTTATCCCTTATTCTTAAAGTTTTTTTTTTTTTAGATCTTGTTAGAACATGTTGAATCTAATTTAGGATCTAATAATTAAAAGTTTTTAATTCCAATAGTTTGAATCAGGATGACTTTAGAAAGTTGTTGCAAACACCAAGACCTGGTGATGCATCATCTAAAGGAATACTAGGTATTGCAACGCCAAGACAGAGGATACCACAAACACCGTAAGTAGAATGAAATATTTTCACATTTATTAGTTTCTTTGATTTTTCAAACTAACATATTTACAGAAAAATTGGTGGTAGTGGCTCCTTTGCTAAACCGGAGATACCTTCTTCTAAAATAAAGAAAAGGTGTGTGTAATTTAAAAGGTTCGTAATGTTATTTGTTTAATTAATAAACTTCGGCTATTCGATCTAAAGGATATTTTATTTAGTACTCGATTTCGCAAACTTGAAACTTCAGATGCCGAAACAGCCGATAATAAATATCGAGATCGGGCTGCAGAACGTCGGAAAGGTGCTAATCCTGATTATCAAGAGACTGAACAAATATTAAAAGCTCTTAATAGTGAAACATTAGAAGCAAAATTGATTTACGAACAATCAAAATATCTTGGTGGTGATACGGAGCACACACATTTAGTCAAAGGTCTTGATTATGCATTGCTTGCCAAAGTACGCAATGAGATTACCCAAGATGATGATAATGATAATGAAATGGATAATGAAAATAATGAAATGGAAATGATAGAAAGAATAAAAGAAGAAAGTCAAGAAACACTCAAAATAAATAGTCGACTTGCACGAAATATATATGAAATTGCAATAGTGGAAGCTAAAAAAAAACCACCAAAAGAGAATGAATTATTTGTTGCGGGACGAATGGCTTATGTATTTGAATTGGATGATGATAAAGATAATCGTAGTGATGCGTTTGCCATTCCAACGACTATTATTCGAAGTAAAGCTGATATTAATAATCCTACTGGTACGGATAAATCTACTAATGATTTAGTGATTGAGAAAATATCACGAGTGATGGCTTATGTAAGGAAATCTGCAAGTACGGAAAATAAAGGGAAAAGGGTAAAAAAAAAACTTAAAGAAAAACAACCTGAAGAAATTTTAAAAGAAAAAGTAGCAGCAATTGATGAAAGTGAAGATATTTTTGCAGATGCTGGAAGAGATTATCATATTGTTATGAAAGAAGAAAAACAAGACAAACGTGAGGAGGATAACATTAATTCTCAATCACAATTAAATGAAGAATCATCGGTTAGTAAGGAAACTGATTCCATTGAGAGGAATTACTTTGGCGCATCCTCACAAGAAGAGGGTGAAAATGATTCTATGGATATTGACAAGATACAAGAAACTCAACAATTAAAAACTTTGATGCAACAAGCTGTAACAGATAATACAGAAAAAGTCAAAGAAGAAAATCAAAAAAATATAAATATTAGTAATGAAAATACCAAATTATCAAAAGGGATTAAAAGGAAGCTATATGGTCAAGATAGTTACGATGGAAATTATTCAATGTATGGAATGGAAGAAGATACACGTGAAAATGCTTATGAATCAGGACATTCGGATTCGGATTCCGATAACATTATGGGTATTGAACATACCATTCGAGATCAAGGTGTCACAAAGAATAAAAAAGCTCAATTATCTAGGTGGGATTTTGATACAGAAGAAGAATGGCAAGCATATAAGGTAATTTTGAATAATGCCCTCAAGGCAATAATAAAACTAATATTAATTATATTTATCATATTAATTAAATTATTTTCCTTATAGAATAATGTTACAGCGATGCCTAAATCAGCATTTCAATTTGGAGTCAAAACTGGAGATGGACGCAGAACTCGAAGGAGTGGCAAAGAACTCACAGAAAAGCAAAAATTGGATAGAGATTTCCAAAAGATTAGTAAAATTATTGAGCGAAAATATGGTAAAGAAGAAAATGAATCAACTCCGAAAAAGAAACAAAAAAAATAAATTATTTGTTTATCTTGATTTTTATATAACTTTTTTTTTTATTTGTTTTTATGTTTAATTGATTGTTGCATAAATCGAAAAAAATTGGGTTTTCATAATCATATTCATTTGTATCTTTTTAATTATTTAATTGCAAATTTTAATTTTTTCATAAGTTAAAGACTTGCCTATTAATCAAATAAATTTAAATAAATTTATAACAATATTAAATTATAATATTAAAATAAAATAAACAGAATTATTGATTTCACATTAAAAATGTTATTTTTTATTTATTTATTTTTTTTTTTTTATTTTTATTTTTATTTTTTTAAAAAAAAGTAAAAATAATGCACCTAATTATCTTAATTATTTTTTGTTGGTAAGAATCGAATTTCTCGGTGCTTAAACTTAAGGAATTCGATCCTATCCCTGGTTACCTCAGTCCCGTGTTTCTTTAAGATCGAGATCATTCCTTCATTAGACCTATCAAGGAGGATAGAATCTTCCTCGCTAGTCCAAATATGTTCTAGAAAATGTAAAATGGGATCAATCATTATTTTTATATCAACAAAGAATTCAAAGTGCAGTACTTACTATTTTTTCTGCCAAGAATGTAATCGTTAGCTGCCTCGAAATTGCAGCTTGTTACACCCAATGCGCGAATCACATCAGTCAATGGGCGGTGGGTTCTTTCGGAGAGTCGCTTAACCCTGGTCAAAAATTCTCTTTCGTCATCATTCACTTGATCTATTTTTTCATTATCATCATTTATTTGATCTTCTCTTTCGTCATCATTCACTTGATCTACTCTTTCGTCGTCATTAATTTGATCTACCCTTTCATCGTCATTCACTTGATCTACCCTTTCGTCGTCAATCACTTGATCTACCTGATCTTGGGAAACAGAAAATTCTCTTTCATCGTCATTTACTTCATTTATTTGATCTTGTCTATCTTGGGAAACAGATAATCTCGAACGTTTTGTTTGAATTGGATCATCCGTTCTTTCATCTGACATTTTACGTCTTTTCCCAAGACAAACCGAAATAGATATATTATCCTCGCTGTCCTCTTCAGCTGAATCGGTTGAAATCGCTGAGTCGGAAATTGAAAATGTAATATCATTTAGATTTATTATAGGATATTGATAAAGCTCACCATTAGTGATTTGTCATAATTGGGCAAAATTACATAATTCCCTGATCAACCTCTTTTCTCACGTGGTGATTGTCACCAACATAAGGGAATTAAATTTACCATGGTGAACTTTAGTAATTTTTCGAAAAATAATAAAAGAAAATCCAACCTTCAAAGTGAAATCTATTATCTTCATTTTGTGTTTCACCTCGCATTTCATTTGATTGATCAGAAATATAGGAGATGGAATTAGGGTCAATACTTTCTTGATTCTCTTGATATTCTTGACGTTCTATAAAACTTTCCAGTTTATTTTCGACCTCCAGGTCATCTGTCTCCGTAATTGGTGACATCTGCCTTGTGTAAGAACGTTCAGCGATGAAATTTTCTGTTTCTGTTTGTACTCCATTTTGCATCTGTTTTTTCATTTCCATATCATCAAGTATATGTAATGCTCGATTTCTCCAAGATTGCCATGTATGCTTGCAATTCTTAAAGAAATTTTAGCATATTAAAAATGCAAAATTAGTTAAAAAAAAAAAAAAAAAAAAAGGAAAAAGATAGAATTGTTATAAATAAATAATAATTACAATTTTCTCTAATTCTTGATAAATTATGTTTCCTTTTAAATTAGTTTTATCTCTCAAATACCTCTCCAAATATTCGTCGTCTTCTTTTGAAAAGGGAATACGACTATAGAAAATTATCGGAAAAGTACTTGAATAATCTTCTGTTTAAGTCCCTGACTTGAATATGTCGTTATGACTGAGGTGAAGTGTACCAGAGAGAAGGAAATACACATACCCATTACGTTCACCCGTAAGGAGTAGTTCATATCCTATTGCTGGCATTAAACGGTTTGCTTCAATAGAATCTGTGACAAACTTATAAGAATGAAGACGTGAACTACCAACAGAGCGATGTGTTTTTGTTGGGTCTACAAGCTTGTATTGAGCATCATTGGATTCTTTGACAACCTTTCCGCCATGTAACTGCGGAAAGATTAAAGGTAGAAAGAGGAAAATGTTTATAACGTTTAAAAAATATTTTAAAATATTTTAAAATAAAATATTTATTTTCAACTCACCTCAATTAATCCTGAAAGCCGGGTTCGCTCAGGAACCTCATGTGTAATGTAAAATGGTATAGGGTTATCACGAATGTTAAATACTTTCTTTGGGGTTGTTACATCTTGGCAGCTAGGGCAATGTTGGTTAGTTGACATTATTTTCATATAATAAAAAATTATAAAGAGGTATTATGGTTGTCTTTCAAAGTTGTCAGGTCAATTTTACTTTGAGATATATGAATATTATTGAAAAAGGTATTGAAGGAAAAAGTACTTTATATGTAACGAGAGCGTGAAAAGTGTGTTACACGTAATCTGAAGATGAAAAATTAATTGGTTGCAAAGAACAATTATTTACTTTATTTACTGATAAAATGTGAAGCTAATCTTGCATTAAACGCGATTGTTTACGATTTATTTTGACTTCCGCGACTTTACTAAACGCGCTTCGTAGACGTTTGAAAGGTTGACTCTCCGTTGTGAACAAAAGACAGTCCTACACCGTCAGGACAATAGACCATTAGACACGTATAATATCAAAATTCTAACGTTATACCATTTTCACCCGTTTTGTCTTGGGTCGGTCTTTTTTGAGGGTGGTTTCATAGTAGACGACATTAATTTGTCTTTTCCGAGTTTCTTAGTTCCTTACTCTACGACAATAAATAGTTCGAACAAAGTGCTATTCGAATAAAGCGACAAACACGACCAATATGTTTCAAACTAACAAGTTTAATAAACAATAAGTAACCGCCCTTGATTGCGGCCGACCAGTGTATAAATCTTTGCTCAATAATTGTTTGATATTTATAACTAAATCACTATATCATTAATAGAAAAGAAGAAAAGAAAATGAAATACGACTTCTATGAGAATATTTTTGTCAATAAAAAGCAATTTGACAAAGCTATAACTAACGCAGGGATTTATTGATAAGAAGAATTTGATCTTTCGATATGATCAAAAGCGTAATGGAAATATTAATATATTTACTTAATCAATTGATGCAGGGGAAACATATAATCACTGCTGTGTCTTTAATTGTTTGAAAAGAATTTACATATAATTATTGAATAAGTTAAAATAATTTAAGATCTTAGAAATGTTAATTCTTTTATTAATAAATTATGGAACTTTATGATGAAACAAATTGGAATTCTGAATATATAAACCTCTCATGACAATTTTGATAATATTTAAGATAACTAATAAACATTATAATATAAGAAACAGACTAAACGGGACTGTAAGATTCGATCAATTTTTCTTGAAATGAGAATTTGATTGATCGGCATCATAGGTTCTCGAAGATCCTTTTTTTTCCGTGAATAATTTCCAGATAATTAATATAGAGATATAAATAGATAGATATATATATTGAATAAAGATTTATCTCTATATAAATTAATCTTCCTATAAATTCCAATTCAAAAATCCAAGGAACCCAATTTTTTGGAATCGAAAATTGAGTTATAAAAAAGATTTTTCAAATTTTAGGTGTGATCGATTTGAATAAGCCAATGATATTTGCCATGTGATCATATAATAGCGAGATCAAAATTTTTTTTATCGATTCTCCCTCTTCAAAAAGGTCTACTGCCTCGCAAACATGGTAAGGAAATAAATATTATTAATTAATTTAATTAAAATTTATTTCTTCAAGGCATTTGGAAATATGTAATTCCAAATTAATCAATACTTGAAACTTATCTGCGATTTTTTTATTCGATTTGCATTCGATTACATCAGACCGAATGCTTTTTATTATAATCTTGTATTTATGCTGCGCTCCGTTATTATCAAAATAGTTGTTTTCACATAACATATAAACAAGAATAATTCATTAGATTGTAATGGATTGTAGTTTATATTATTGTTTTAGGATATACGAGCTGACCATTAAAATACAATTTTTTTTTTTTTAAAATAAAATTTCATAGCCGTTCGTCAAAGCGGTAAAAAATAAAGGTATTTTTTTTTTACGATTGATTGATTCGATTAATGTAAAAATTAAATCATATAAAAATTAATTTTTTTTTCAAATCTACTTAAAAGCCTACTTTAAGCGATTTCAAGTCAAATATCGTAGAAGACGCGGTATGTTTAAATATTATTAGGTCAGATGTGGGAAAAAAAAAAAAAAGAAATTACCTACTCTAAGGAATCCTTTATAAACTTTATGATGATATCATAGTTCAACTGAATTTATACGTGTTGATCAATATTTATTTATTTATCTTTCGCTCCTATCTGAATCTATATTTAGCTAAAATGAATTTGTGGAATTAGAGTTCATGATAATTATTTAATGTCTTGTAACAAATTTATTTAATTTATTACATTTTGTTGGGATAATCAATAGAGGGCAAGACCGATTATTATGCTCGTAGGAAGCTTGTTGTCCAAGCCAAAAACAAATATAAATCACCGAAGTACCGTTTGGTCGTCCGTTTTACCAATACGGATGTAATTGTTCAAATTATTTATGCTAAGATAGAAGGCGATTATATCTTGACAGTAGCGTATGCGCATGAATTACCAAAGTATGGTATTAAAATTGGTTTGACCAATTGGGCTGCAGGTAAAGCTTTATAAACATTTATACTCATAAAACCATTATTATTAATCAAATTAATCAAATTTAATTAAATTAATCAATTTATTAAATTCTCATTTTTTATATTAATATATTTAATTGTAAATTCTTAGCATACACCACTGGCTTACTTGCAGCTCGTAGAGTTCTTACCAAACTTGGCTTGGCAGATAAGTATGAAGGTGTTACTGACCCGGATGGTACAATTTGTCCTATTGAAGCACTCGACGATGCTCCACGTCCCTTTAAAGCCTTTTTGGATGTTGGTTTAAAACGTACATCAACCGGTTCCAAGGTCTTTGCTGTGCTGAAAGGTGCTTCTGACGGTGGTATATTCATTCCTCATAGTGAAAATAGATTTCCGGGATATGATACCGAATCTAAAAAACTTGATTCAGAAGTTCTCCGTAAATATATTTATGGAGGTCACGTCGCTGACTATATGCGCCTTCTTCAGGAAGAGGATGATGAAAAATATAAACGTCAATTTTCTAAATTTATTGAAGCTGGTGTTTCTGCTGATGATCTAGAGGATATTTATAAAGAAGCACATGCAAAGATTCGAGCCGATCCAAAATTTACACCTACGCAAAAGAAAGGCGACTACAAAGTTTTCAAGAAGGTTAGCTTAAAAAGATTAGATTTAAAATATATAAACTTTTTTTTTAATAACATCATAATTCATATATATTTTTTATTTTTTCTACAGTTTACGAAATCGAGATTGAACTTAAAACAGAGAAAGAACAAGGTCAAACAAAAGATTGAATCTTTCAAACGTGCACAAGAAAAGGATGACGAATAATCTATGACATATTGAATTAAACAATTTAATAAATTTTGTAAATTGTTGCGATTCATATCATTTGGAGTTTTTTACTTTTTTTTTGTTCTCATTATCTAAAATTTTTATTAAACAAACATTCATAGAAATATTACATAAGTATATTGATTATTTATTTATTTATTTATTTTATTTGTTGGTTTTATTCTCTTCGGAGAAATGTTTGTTTCTTCTTGCGAAACCGAGGATAGTATTTTACTATCATTAGAGATATTTTTCCTTTTAATGGACATTTGCAAATTGTTTACGGGAATAACATTTGTCTTTTGAATCTCCTTTCTTACCAAAGGATTTTCTACCATAAATTTGATAATATTAGGTTCAAGTTCTTCTTTTGTAAAACGTTGTTCTAGAAAATTACATTTCCAATTTGAGGTTGATTTTATAGCGGAACTTTCGGATTGGAAATTCTCATTTAATAACGTATTAATTATTAAATTATATGTAACGTTATCAACGAGAATGCCTCCATTTTCTTCATTTACTTTAATTGATTTTGCATTAGAAATAATTTTCTGTCCATTTTCATCATCATCATCATTACCCTTCATTTCCACCCAGATAAATCCTGCCCGATTTCCTCCAACAAATTCACCCCCAATTGATATCATATCCCAAAATTCTTTCACTGTTAAAGAATTTTCATCTTCAGATTCGACATTAGTCAACCATCTTGACTTAGCATCATCCTCAAATTTTGGAATTACATCAGTTGCCTTCTGTGCATCCGAATATGGGTAACCATATTGCCAAAATTGGTTTTCCCGCTTTTCATTTTCTCCATATATTAAATCATTGATAAGCATACGCGCATTTCTTTCAGTGCTTATCCCAGGGAGATAAAACCATCCACGTGTACCATTCTGCGCATTATTCTGATTATCAAAAAATGTTTGTTGAAAAATCTTTTTCCACCATTTTATCAGTTGAGGATCATTTAATACACGTTTGATCGGATTGTTTGCTGAAAGCCGAAATAGATATTCGGGTTGTGAACGTACAAAACAGTGAAATTTTAAACTTTTAAATTTTGATCCTTCATTTCTTGAGTAAAAATTCATGTAGGCACTTAATAAATTTTTAGTTGGTGTTACTGAACAATTGCAGAAACCCGTTGTATCCACTTTTGATATATAAATAATTAGTGAAGAATTATTGGAATCGTGATATTCGTGAATTTCAATACCAGTGACAAAAACATCTCTATCAGTTTTAATCTTTTCAGTTATTAATATAAGTATTCTACGTTTGAAAATGTTCCTATCAGTTTCGGCATTTTGTACGTTTTTTGACGAGGTTAAAGGTTCAACGGATTCCAATTTAGTAAAAAATAAATACAGGGTGTACGTGTGTGAACCAGGAACCGTTTTCTTGAGTGAGCTTAGAAGGTAATTGATGAGAAGGGTTTGATTTTGGGTATTAATTTCGGTCGTCATTTTTTAAAAGTAATTAAAAATTTGTTGTATAAATTTTGTTTATTGATGTCACAGACAAATAAATATCATGTGATAACATTTACATAAACAACATATGTATTAATTAAAGTTGTTCTTTATTAGGGAAAAAATTAAATAACAAAATAAAATAAAAATAAAATAGCATTATTAAACATTAGAAGTAAGAAGTAAAATGAATTTCCGCAGGGTAAGGAAGTTGGGTTGATGGATTAATGGGTTGAAAGTTATTTAATTTTATTTATTTTATTTTGATGCACAATTTAAATAAATGGAATTGTAAATGCGAATTTTGTTCTCCAAAGTCAAACATTATATTACAGAGACAGGAATATCATTAGCCAATGTAGATAAAAGAATAGTGCTTACAGAATATATATCTATCTATTTAATATATTTCTTTATTCTATTTTTCCTATTAATGACTTCCACTCTGTCTTTCAACAAACCTACAATTATTTCCATAATTGTTTCAAATCCTTGTGAAGTGTGGTGTCATCACTCAAAGTCCTCTCATCAATTTTTATTGGATAATAACCCTTTGAGAGATATATAGTTTTTAATGTAAGCATTAAGAAATACCACCTGTCGACTATAATTAACAAGATCGATTTTTATTAAAAAAAATGTTTATGTGAATTATAATTCCTTGACAAAACCCACCAGTAGTCATAATGCCATAAATGTAATCATAATAATCTACAAAATCTCCGCTTTTTTTCTTTTTGTTCCAATGGAAGGCACTTTCAAGTTGATTAATATTTTGAATAATTCCACTAACTTCGTAGATTCTTTTGGTTTCAGTTATGCACATAAATTAACTTTTTATTTTACTAGTTTTAATTGCATAATCAACTTCACTTGATACATTTTCACCTGATGCATCTTCACCAATAATTTCCAACCCTGGATATAATTTAATTGGTATCTCAGTAATTTGTTTGACAATCTGTAAAGACGCTAGTAATACTATATAGACATATATAGAGTGTGCGGCTTCTTTTTTGCCTATTAAAGGCCCATGATTTCTATCCTATTTTTTAATATAATCTAAACACTATTGGAAATATATATTATTATCCTCAATCTTCGCCATTTCTAAGAAAAAAACAGTTAGCCTTGTTAAATTCCTAGACTTAAGATTTTCTATTGCAAGCTTACCCGGTTTGAAATCTGGAAGTTTATCTATTTCAGTGAATCGACACTCGCTTAAAACATATTCCGTATCAGCATTAGTTTTAAAGTCTGAAGATGGTTTTAATTGTTTACTGAACTTTTGCACAAGGTTTATAATCTTCACCGCATGTCTAAGTGGCATTCTAAGTTTATCTTCAGTTAATCCGAGAAGTACTGAACCCGAAATTTCTTGTTCTTTAATAATATCGATGGAATTTTCCCCAATATTAAGTTCATTTTTTACAGATTGTAAATAATTAACAACTTCATCTCGTTTCCATTTTTTAACCTTTTAAGCTGACGGAATAACTTTTCGGTTTTAAGTTAGCGTCTTCAAAAATGTCTCAATTATACGATAAAAAGTGTCGCACAAGATTATCTTAACAAATTAACTGCGTATTTCACTATAATTATTATTATTTAATCCAAGGTTGATGAGGTGTTGGAAGTGTATTAAATATAGAACTGATTCAGGAGTTACAACCTCAATGCTTTAAAGATTATTTTCATAAGTTGCCCAGTTGCAATTATTGGCCGTAATGCCGTAATTCTGGCGCAATGCCGTAATTATATATAAAATCGGAAATAATTGTCGATGGTTGCTACATATAAAACTTTTTATTTTAATAAGTAAATATTAAAAACAGTACTAAGCAACATTAAAGACAAAAATAAATTACGTATTATATAAAAATATCAGACCTATATCATCAAAATAGAGAGAAAATTAATGGTTAAAGTTCGAACGGGCGAAAAATTTAAAACGATAATAATTCGCCTAATTTTTATATTATAGATCTGCCCTTTTAATATAATACGCAATTAATTTTTTATCTTTGAGGTTACTTGGTACCATTTTTTGACATTCACTTATAATATAAAAAGTACTAGTACAGTACAAATTCCCAACCTTGCCCTAGTTACCCTATTCTCGACCACTTTTCTTGTACTACCTTCCTCAAGTTATTGCGCGGATTCATTCTTCCGAAGTTAATTGCACGTAAAATAATAAAAATTATATATATATATATTTCTTTTAAAACTTAAAAAGAATGTATAAATATTAATTTTTATTTTAAAACTTAAAAAGAATATAAATATTAATTTTTATTTATAATAATATTAAAAAAGAGAAGAGCTTTCACTCTGGGGAAAAATCAAAAATTACATAATTCCTTGATCAACCCTAATCCTAATCTACCACCGTTAACTTAATTCCTCATGTGGTGAAAATTTCCCCTGGGTTAAGATTAGTTTTTTTTTTTTAAAAAAAAATATATAAACTTTAATAGTAAAAAAATATTTTTTATTAAAAAAAAAGTGCCAAAAGAAACGTACATTTTGATGTGTTACATAATGAATTATTGTTTAGAGAATTTATCTTTGATTGTCGTGTGAGCCGCTTTATAAATTACGGCATATAAATAAATTACGGCCATTACGGCAATTATGAAATTACGGAATTCATTTTGCTTTGCCGAAATAGTTACGGCTTAGCCGAAATGCAGTAACCCCCCGTTGTAATTCCTGACATCTATATAGTAATACCTAACTTCATGCAACGTAAGAAAACATATCCTTTTGACCATCTACACGTTCAATATACTCTTTTTCTAACAATACATCAATACACTTTTTGATATCAGGAATTTTGGGTTTAAAGCGATTTGACAATTGAGCAATTACTTCTTGTACTAAAACGACATGCTTCAATGTTTTACGAGTCTTCATAATACGAACAATAGCAGCCTACATAAAAAAAAAAGAATAAAAAAGATCATATTTATATATATATATATATTTTTTTTTTCAATAAAAAAAATGAGAACTAAATAAAAAATCACAAACCTGCATCAACAATTTCCTGTCCTCCTCAACCGTCTTATGGGTTTCTTCCACTTCAACTTTTTGTTCAGATTTAACAGGAACATTCAATTGAATACGAACCTTCTTGCTGTTTGTTTTGTCAAAAAAAATATATATATATGTATAATCGAGTGTCAGCTTAAAAAAATTTTATTCGAATATTTTTTAATAGCTAAGCACGAACCTCTTGAAATCCATATTTAAATCGTAACGTGAACTCGGTTCACCGACTGCACTACCTTTAGTGATGTTAAGAACTTTGGCCTTAACTAAAGTACTCAATGAACCCGTTAAGACATCAGAACTCAAATCCGTGCTCGTTTTTAATTCTTCGAATGTGTATGAAGTATCTTTATTGTATTGCAAAAGAATACCCATCTGATAGGTAGAAACCTAAATTACCAAATAAAAAGAAATTAGAAATATGACTTCAAATAAAATCGCTTTTTAAGATTGAGTTTTTTTTTTTTTTTACCTGAAAAGTATAACCTGTCTTTGATGCTTTACAATAATTTGCCTTTAATTCTCCTTTTGATAAGTGGAATAGCCAATTTAATTTACGACCAGAATGTTTATTTTGGTAAAACATTTTGAATCTTTGAAATGTTCTTTCAACCTATATTGAAAGTAAAATTTTAAAATTTTTTTTTTTAAAAAATAGGTATATTGTATATTGGATAAAAAAAAAGATAAAAAAGATCCATACCTCTTCTGGTATAGTAAAGTTTGTGGTAGAAGGTTGAAGCGGCCAAGATGCCGTTCCAAGAACAAGAACAGTAAAGTCGACTATAATATATTAAAATATATATAAAATCAAAAATATTTTAAATATTTGTTCACAATTCATAAAGAACTACAGCCGCGTAATTACCTTGTTCGTTTGATTCTACTGAACTTCGTTCTTTAAATTGATCGTTAAGATCTTTACTTAGACCCATATCTGTAAACATACGTTGCAATTTTGAGGTATACTCAAAACCACAAGCTTCCTGTTAAGATTTCAAAAATGATAAATGTTAGTTATAAGAAAATTCTTATAGAACAATTAACAATATGCATACCTTTAGTTTAGAAATCATGCTTGATTCAGCATCTTCTGATGCCGATGTGCCATTGACAAGACGTTTTGCCAACATTTTAGAATAAAATTTTTGGAAAACATCTTTATCTTCAACATATTTGAATACGGTCATCTAAGGATATTACATTAATTAGTTTCCGAAAGAATGATGTAAAAACTAAAATAATAATGATAATAATATACTCACAATATTATTCAACACATCTTCAAGGTCCCCTTCTTCTGGATTCTTTGAACTTTTTCGAAGTAAAGAATCACAGAATCGCGCTAACAACTCGGGAGACTTAGATGTCGAGGACTTACAAACTTTATTTCTATTGACAAATTCTCGACATGCCTAATAAGATATAAATTATTCAGACCCAAAATGCAATCATTTATAAAATTATTTCAAAAAGGTTAGTTTGTGACTTGCCTTGTCTAATGAAGCAACAAAACCGGCCTCCCCTCTGAATGCGGTAGTAACCATGTCATTGTATTTTTTGTGAACTTCTAACAAAGCGTCAACGTAGGTTTTTGGTTCCTATAAATCAAAAAAGTAAAGTTGTTAAGGTTAACATATATAATGAAACATAATTTTTTTTTTTTTTTTTAAAAAAAAAAAACAATAATAATACACATACCATATTTTCACTACCCTGATCTGCGACCTTTTCAATTGCATTTAAACCTGCTATTCGGACATGTCTCTCGAAACGCGTGCGGAGGGGATCCAGTCCTTCCGGGATTCGTGATAAAAGGGAGTACATTCGATGTAAATCTTCCATTTTATCAGCGTTTAATAGATTTTGAAATTCATCCCACATAATTTCAGTATGGTTCTTTACAAGTACATTCTCACATGTCGTAATAAGAGGCTTATGAGTACTCTGATGCAAATACATTTGAACGCGATTTTCTTCTTCCGCTAATCGGGTTTCAGCCTATAATTATAATAATTATAATAATAATAATAATAATATTTTATTTTTTTTTTTTTTAAAAAAAAAAAAAGTTTCGTTCAATTTACAAGATTCTCAAATATAATTGTACCGTACCTTCTTCATATATTCTGTAACACTATTCTCAGTAACAAATTTTTCCGATTCAGCTTTATAATATACTTCGGATGAATCCACAAATGGTTTTTGAAAATGTTCCTTATATACATCAAGTGTAGATTTGGTTGAATCAGCATCGTCAAGACCAAGAGCAACTAAAAAGGATCTTATAAAATTTAGAAATAAATAATTTCTAAATTGATCGACATGAGTGAATAGTATTAAACACCTACCAAAAGATTCGACAACGCTCTTGACCAAACTGGTTTCAACGGATTCACCATTCCTTTGTCGCTCGATGAGCTTCAACACTGCAGTCATGACATTACGCTCTACGTGCATAAACATGTGATCTCGCCAACTGACAAGCGTGAGCTTTTATTAAGTTGAAAAAATTAGTAATGGTAAAAACATAATATGAATGAACTTTTATTTTACTTACAGTGTAAACGTCATAGACAGTCTTACGACCTTCATCAATTTCCCTTTTCACCCAATGACGATTAAGATATCTAAATACATGATGTACATATGATGATGCTGTAGTATATTTTTCCCAGTTCCTTGTGTAATACCGCAATAAATTTTCATCCATGTATTGAGCAGAATTCTAATAAAAAGAGAAGAAATTAAATTTTAGGTTTATGGTACATATTAAAGTCAATATAAACAAACGTTTCTAAAAAAAAAAAAAAATGAATGATAAGATTATTAACCCCACGAATTTCATGAAGATGCCTTTCGAGATATCTTTGAAGATTCTGATATAAATCGCTTCCCATAAGATTGGCTCCTAAAATTAAACCATTTTAGATATGAAAAAATATGATTTAACCGAATTGAACATAAAAAATTAAAAATTTGAAAAAAAAATACCTCGGTTATTATTCAAATTAGAACCAGGTCCAGCGAGAGGTTCAGAAGTAAAACCAGGATTCATGCGGCTGCTCGTACAATAATTATATATTCCACTAAATCAGAAATAAAATGTTAAGGACAAAAACATATAGTTATTATAATCAAATCGAAATAAGCAAAAAGAATCAAGTTTTTTTTAGTAATAATGCTTCGTTATTTCAATAATAAGAAATAACAGAAGTCATAAAATTGTTGCAAAGGGATACGTATAAAGATCCATATATCTTTTATAACTAAGCCCCTCTTCTAATCTGTTCATAATGTGGTTGATACCACTTTCTAGAAAAGCCCATGTTGCTGATAAGTCGTTAGGAGGAGGCAAAGCTGGATTGGTCTCCATTCTAAAATATTCTAATACGTATTGTGAATAAAGTAAAATATTTAATAAACTATCTTTTTCTTTAGAAAGCTATCATTTAGATTAGTTTGTAAAAAAAAAAAAAAAATCTCTCTTTACAAATATGAAGGAAAAAGGTTAAGTTTAAAATTTTTAATATTAAGATACACTCTTTTATTCGGGACTGCGGTTTTGATTTATGGATTTATGCCGCAGCGACGCATTATTATTAGCTAATACCCCTTTTCCATTTTTCTTTGTAGAACATGATTATTCTCATGACGAAAATGAATTCCTTTCCCTAAATTCCGGATTCAGATAATAGAAATGAGTTTTTTAATGATATCCTACACTCATTAGGTTTAGGCAATTGATCCTTGGAAAAAGAGTCATTATGACTTCTTTACATGGTTTGTGATTGGCTTATATAACTCCCGGCTTCTTTTCCAAAACCTATTCTCTATACAAAATAAGTTTCTTATAGTAATTTTTTTTTCCTAGATATGGATTGATCAGACTTTGCAGATTAATTAATTAAATTTTAGATAAAGTTTTTATACTTTATTTTATGAAATTTTGATAGCATATATAACTTATAATTATAACTATAACTATATCATATTCAATGAAAAATAATTTAAACATAAATAATTGATATATTACTTTTTAATTATTAAGTGAATATATTAAACTATTCAAAAATCTATTCAAAAAGAAAATTAATTATTGCAACATCAAAAAATCAGAAAAGAAAATTTTAATTGAACCTAGAAAATAAAATGGAAACAAAATGGAAACAAAATGGAAATAAAATTCACTTGAATAAATTTATTAACAATACGCATAAACCCATTTTCATTTTTATTTTTTCTGTTGGTGATTTTTGATCTACATTTTTATTTGCTGACAGATCAGATGATCAATGTGACGCGAATCACCAATATAAAAAAAACGCGTAGCTTTTTTTTTTTTCTTAAATTTTTTCTTTTTCGCTTTTCCCCAAGTTTTGATAGTTTTTGAGTTACATTTCTAAAGATGAATTAATTTTTTACCTATAATTTTTTTTTTAGGAGAATCCTCACGCTCGGATCATATGTGAGGTTGCAATATATCAAAAAGACCCACTCTTCCATGCCAAATTTTAGAAAAATCCAATCATGATAATAAAGGAGTTTATAGTTTATTTGTTTAAAAAAATGTATCAGAAATACTTCCATAGCTAGAGGTAATATATTTGAAGAAGAAATTACAAATATCTTAAAAAGTTAAGTGTAAAAAAGTTGAGTGAATATTTTTAATATTCACTAAATATATCTATATTTTTGAAATTACACTGTCACATGAGAGTTACCCTCCATTATGCTTGTTATAAAAAATACAGGTAATTAAAAAAAAAATAAATTGAGATATATCTCTTGATCCTATTTCATATAAAAGAATTAAATCTACAATTGATTTTTTTTATATCTGTTATATCTATTGGGCACATAATTAACATGTAAATATAAAATTTTGTAGAATGATCTCCATCATCCCCATCATCTCTTCACCATATTGTATGTATGAAGGAGAATATCAAAATTGCAGTTACGATTACTGCAAAAATAAATAATATGAAAAAGACAAGCTTATCAGAAATTTGAATAAACAGAAAACCAACCTTATAAAGATAGTTTAAATTTGGATAAAGATTTTATTGCTATGCAATTATCCTCTGCAGGTTCTAATGATGATGGTGAAAGTAGCAATAACAATAATAATGACAATAACAATGTCAACAATAATAACAACGATAATAGCAATAATGGTGATAATGGTGATAATGACAATATTACTGATGGCAAGCAGTTACTGGATTTTTTAATAATTCATATCAAGGCACTGCAATCTTATGATAAAGTTTAAAAGATATGAAAAATTAACATGGAAAGATTGTAAACATGGTATAAAACTAGATGGAGTTCTTTATTCATGATTACAAATTTAATTTTATGCTCGAAATGATGAAAAACTTTTACAGTACTATCAGTTGGGACTGATTATGTCTCTGAAGGGACTATGCAAGAACTTTCATTGTTTACATAATTTTTGGCAAATATCAAGAAGAACATATTTACTTTATTCAACAAGGAGTATATGCTTGATCTTGGATATGAATTTTTTTTTTAAAAGATTCATAATATTTGATGTTGAAATCTTATTTATGTAGACGCGCTTTTTAATTGTCTTTACTTAAAATTCCATGGCTAATGTGGAAATTGGATCATACAGTATGATTTTGTGCAACTGCACTAATTGCTTCATTTGGTTAAGTAAGTATATTATTTATATTATTTATTCATTTATTTATTTACTTGGGGAAAATTTTTATATATCTTTTGTATGAATATAAAAAAAAAAATTATATATTTGTTTAACAATTTTAATTAAACGATGAATATTGTGATGATGATAATGGTTAGAATAAAGCGAGTAAAATTGAAAATAATGAAAATAATGAAAATAATGAAAATTAATGAAATTTTAGATCTTTAATAATGAAATGTACATCTTAATATATCAACACAACGGAGATGGAAATTCTACTCTTTATTCATGTGCTATGTGTATATAAATTTAAAGTTTATTACAACAATAAAATTATTTAAAATTTCTATAGTGTTCGCTTTGTCATTTAGATAATAATAATAAAATAATTGATCCATTTACAGTTATTTATTTGTTAATTTAAAACTATAACATATTTTATTATTATTACTACTAAGAAAATTATTCCAGTGATTACATAAATACATCTATCTACTCCTCATTTAAAAAATTATTTCTTTCCCTATAAAATATTATATATTTATTATATAAATGTTAATATGTTAATCTTTTCTATGCATTGAAAAAAAAAATGAATAAATAAATAGAGATAAATAGAGACAAATAGAGACAAATAGAGATAAATAGAGAAATAAATACCTGAATCAATCTACTAGTTCCATACAATGCACCTAAGAATCCTAAGCCAATAGTAGTAAAGTATATAAATAGGAATGGCTTTCTTGCTGGACCTCCACGAAGCCAAAGAGGTTCATCAGTAGCCTAAATGATAATAATATTTTGACAGACAAATCATAAAAAAATATAGATATAAATATATATGTTATTATGTTATTTAATTTATTAGAAATATTAAAAAAAAAAATAAAATCGATACAAATAAAAAATATAATAACTAACTTGAAAAAATTTTTGTTTTTCAATCACTTTATTTGGTCGAAGTAACCACGGCATGGTTTAAAAAAAAAATTGTTAAAAAGTAAAAAGTTTGTTTAAAAAGAGAAACAGCCGACTTTATTTTATGTGTAGTACAGAATTTAAATATTTTATAATTTATTGATTACAGATAATCATCAAAAAAAAAAAAAAAGAATCAAAAATCAAGCCCAGCTAATAATTCTTTCTTCATGTTTTTTGATAGGCCATAACTTCCAACTCCACTTGTATGTACCTCGAATTCGTTCTGGTTTACCTTCGTTTAGAATTTTACCTACGACAAAAGCAATTATTATGTTTCATATTGTTATGAATATCATATATATTTATATATATATTTATATATCCATCTATATTTTTTACCTTTCCAAACCTTAATACCAAAGGCTTTTCCATGTGTTATATCCTAAAAAGTAAAAAATATTTATTGGATTCTATATTATTATAATTTATGATTTATTATTTTTTTTTGCAAAAATTCATTACCTTCATTTTCAATTTAACATTCGTGACCTCATAATAACATTCGGTGATCCCTTTATCGATCCAATGATTAGGTGCCTTGGAAATTAAATATGCGATACTCTGTTAATATTTCCAAATTTTCTTGAATTATAATAAATCTTTTTGAATTTTGATTTGATTTAATTCGATTTGTACCACTTTGAGTCCAACCCCATAATCAGGATAAACATTTAATATTTCAAATAATTTTTTAGGTTTTTTCGCATTAACAATAGTTGGAATTTTATCTTTAATTAAGAGATTTCTTGCAATATTGGTCATGATTAAAAAAAAAAATAGATAAATTCAAAAGTTTTATTTTCATCAACGAATCATGAATATATGTCTAACACGTACATCCACGTGAAGACCCACGTGATACATACATAACATTAATTAATTAATTAAAAATAAGGAAGATGATAATGATTTTGCCTGTTTATCATTATTTGTACCCAATTCAGATAAATTCCAATTAATTTGAATTGTAGGTAAAATATCATAATGATTATATCTTTCATTATCCTGGTGTTTATAAGAAGTTAATACATTTGGACCAATAAGTGTAGTGTAAATATGATTATAATTTGATAAATCAAAATATGAAGATGATTCATCAAAAGTTATAATAAGAAGTGACTTGGAATTAATTAATATTGGTTGAATTAATGGAATTAATTTGGTTTTTAAATAATTTGATGCATAAGAAAGATTGGTATTGTGTCCATCATTATTCACATTGGGTCTAATAATTAATAAGATAATAATTAATGATTAATAAAATTAATAATTAATAATAATTAATAATTAATAAAATTAATAATCAATAATTAATAAAATTAATAATCAATAATTAATAAAATTAATAATCAATAATTAATAAAATTAATAAATAATAAATAATTAAGAATTAAAGAATTAAAGAATTAAGAAATAATTACGTGTAAAATATGTATTGAGGAACATTTCCTTCTGAAATATCTTTAGTTAATTCTTCAGCATTAACAATTTTAGAGACCAGAGTTTTATTATTACGAATATTATTCATTGAAATGAAAGGATTATGTTTACGATAATATAATCGATCGTCTGAATAATCTCCAGCGAATCCCTTGCCTAATTAAAAATAATAAAAATAAAAATAATAATAATAATAATTAGAATCGAATATAAATTTGAAACTTTGATTTCATTTTTTTTTTTTTTTAAATCAAAAATTACTTTACCTGGATAATTTTCTAAATATGCCTTCCAAGAAATTCCTTTCTCTTCAAGTAAAATAGGTAACGAAGGTCCATTGATGTTTTGAGAAAAATCGGTAAGCTTTAAATTCATAAATATAATTATTGATCACATATCTCATATATATATATATATATTTTATGTATATGTATGTATGAATATATACACATATTACATCTATATTATATTATTATTATATTATTATTATTATTATTATTATTATTATTATTATTATTATTGTGTTGTATAGATCATACCACACCACTTTTGGATGAACATATCATGGCGATATAATTGGGTTGCGAAGGATGCCATACTGCGTGAAATTCGGTTAAAGAAATTCCTTGACTTGCCTAGAATTCATTAATTATATTATTTTAAATATTATTTAGTTTTTTTTTTTTTTAAAAAAAAAAAAAAAGTTCATTCTCTACATAAATCTGCATGTAACATGTATGTATATATGTACTTAACGAGAAAAGACAAATAGGGATCTTTAATTGCTTCATCGTATTTAGAATTTCCTAATACAATAGTTATGATACTATTGATGTAAAAGTAATTTATTATTATTTTTATTTTCCACTTTAATTAATTACAAAAATATATATATATATATAACTTTATTATAAATTATAAAAAAACTATAAAAAAAACTACAAGGATCTATTCAATATCTTACCGATCAAAGTAAATTCCAGCAACGGAAGGTTTAGATTGAGATGCAAATATAATATTTAAAATATTTGTAAGCAGGATAAATAAAATCGAAAACAAGTTGTAAAAATCCATAATAAATAAAAATCCAAATTTAATTTTAATTTAACAAATTTAACATTAATACCAAATTTAGAATGTGTTAACAGGTTAAAAAAAGAAAAAAAAGTTGGAGTAGAATCATATGAATTTATAAATAGGATTTCGGATTTAAGCGGAAGCGTGAGAATCGAAGATCAAATTTTCTTGTGTTACTTTGTTATGTTACCTAAGTACAGCCAATCAATATAGTCCATTTAAATATCTTTTTAACACATAACAAGTTTTTTTTTGAACGGTTTTTTTTTGATTCATTCATTCCGGAGTTAATTAATTATGGTTCGAGTTACCAGAAGCAAGTTGGCGAGAGACAACCAACCGATTATTGCAACAAATGATTCTGAAGAAGCTGATAACGAAGCAAATTTAACTATTAAGGTAGAATCGGGTAATCGACAAACACGCTTACAACCCTTTGAGGTTGAAGCTGTGGGAATTACTGAGGCAATTGAGTATATTTTTTATGAAAAAAATTATTAACATTGTTACTTAATTTTTGGTTAGCAGCCTGTTATAATCTCTATTATTTTCAAATGTAGAAAACTGCGACTGAGCGTTATTTAGAAATATGGAATACAATCAAAAAACGCAAGGATAAGAGGTTATTATTAGATCCATTATTACGGATGGATTATCATAATATTTTCGTGAATTTCTTGATTACCGTGAATTTCTTGAATCTCTTGAATTACTTACACATTTTGTTTTAATTTGTTTGTTTAAATAATAGGGGAAGACCTATAGCAAAACTTTTTAACACTTTACCTGATAGAAAACGTTATCCTGATTATTATGAAGAGGTTTGTAAATAAAAAAAAAAGAATAAATGTAAAAAGATTAGATGCAAAAAAAAAAAAAAAAAATACTAATTATCTAAATTAATTAAATTTTAAGATAAGGAAACCAATTTCTTTGGATATCATAAAGGTTTATATATATGGCATTTTTATTTTATTCTATTTTTGAATATAAAAATGGGAATTCAATTTTATTTACAGTTTAATTTTTATTTAATTTAGAAAAGAATTGATCGCAATGAATATCAAGATGATCATGAATTAGAAGCAGATTTAGAATTAATGTTTAAGAATGCAAAAAAATATAATGTTGAAGGGTCTCAGATATATAATGATGCAGTTGAATTGCAGGTAATTTAAAGTAATTAATTAATTTTTTTTTTTTTTTTAAAAAAAAGCAATTAATTTAAGTTATTTCAAATTATTTATTTCTTAGATGTTATCGCTTGAACTATTTGGTGGAGATCCAAATGATGCGACCAACGCGGATAGACAAACACAGGTTTATCATGAAGAAATAGAGCACAAGGGTGAAATGTATAGAATTGGTAAATTTTTTTTTTTTAAAAAAAAAATTTATTTATTTGAACAAATTTTATTTTAATTTGATTTTTCATTATATTTTTACAGGGGAATATGTACATATCTATAATGAACGTAATCCGAAAAAACCAAATGTCGGACTTATTTTTAATATCTGGAAAAATGAAAGGTATCAATTAAGAATAACTTTATTTATTGTTTATATTTTTTTTTAAAAAAAAAATACTTATTATTTATTTTATTATTATTATTATTATTATTATTATTTAGAAATGAAGATTTTGTTAGAATATGTTGGTATTATCATCCAGAACAAACAAAACATCAGGCCAGTAAGAAATTTTATAGTTGTGAAGTCTTCAAAACAAATACATTTCAAGATCATTCAATTAATGATGTTCTTGAGAAATGTTTTGTTTTGCCGATTAGAGAATATATCGTGGGAAAACCTAAAAATAGCGAAGGTAAAATGGTCTACCTTTGCGAATCTAGATATACAGAACATGGAAATACTTTTAGTAAAATTAGAAATTGGCTTGGATGTATGCCAAAAGATTCTAAACTTGTAAAAACGGAATTGGAAAAATATGATTCACCTTTAATTCTAAGAAAAGTTGGAAGCCCATTAGCTGCAGCTATGCAATCATCTAATAGTAATAAGATGGAAGAAGATATTCAACAAATGACTACATCATCCGATTTTGAATTCGAGTTAGTAGATTCAGTAAATTCATCAGGATCTGAATCGACATTTATCTCACAATCTAAAAATAACACGACTATTCCTAATTCACTCTCGTCTAATATATCTAATCATAGATTAATATCTTCTAGAACCAGAAATGTTAAACAAAGACAACAATCTGTCACAAGTCCAAACAATCAAGTAGATTTAAATCCTTTAATGGTACCAAGAGTTCAACAACAACAATTACAACAACAACAACAGCAACAACTACAACAACAACAACAACAGCAACAACTACAGCAACAACTACAACAACCGCCACCACCACCACCACCACATCAGTACGCGCCGCCACCTTCATTTGTAATACCTCCACCATTCCCGCAGATGGCCACAATAAATCCTATGATGTATGGTGATTCAGGAATGTTACCTAATTATGGTTATCCTTATCAAACTCATTATCAACATCCTCAACATATAATTATGTCACCTCAATATACACAACATTATCCAATGATGACTACGTCACAGGTTCCACAAGTTCAACATCACATGTCAATACAAACGAATGATTCTTCATCGGGTTCTACTATCTCACAAAACATATCTAAAGTTCCAACAAGTAAGTGTTCAATTGCTGAACTCCCTTCAGAAACAGGTATGAAATATTATTATTATTATTCATTATTAATTATTATTATTATCCATTTTTAATTATTATTTTTTATTAATTTTTACTTATAAATCGATTATTTATTATTTATTTTTTATTTAGCTAGGAATTTTGTGCGTGATGAAAATGGAAAAGTACTTTGGTTCACGACTCCACCAATAGATGTTACTCCATTACCACAACCAATGCATTCAATTGAATATCTTCATCGAAAGGAAGAAATTCATGAACGCAAGGTAATTTAAATTTATTGTTTCATGATACATTTGGTAGAATGTTTAATAGAACATTTGGTAGAATATTTATCTAACTTAAAAATTTATTAAATAATCCCAAAGAGACAAAGATTGCAAGAAGAAATGTCTAACAATGAGACTCGACCAGAAAATGTACCAATAATACCTGAATCCAATTCACTTCAAGAATCTGATCTATCGTATACGATTCAAGGTATTTTATTCATTCTTTTACACGAGTTATTTCTTAAATATAGGTTACATTCTTTTTTTTTTAAAAAAAAAACTTTGTTTTTCTTAAATGATTTAGAAATAGCAAATAAGTGGAATGAAGATGCCATTTCACTTAGTATGCAACTTTGGAATGGTGAAGGTTCTTGGGATAAATAATTCTTCCATTGAATGAAATATTTGAATAATTCATAATTGTAATGAATTCAAACTAAATTTTGAATTATAATAATAATAAATAAATCTCCAACTGGAAAATCCAATCAATTCGAATTTCTTTCACCAAGAATATTTTATTTTCATTATTAATTTTATTTTATTATAATAAAATGTGGTAATGATATACATGATTATATTGATCTCCCATTTTTTTTTCTTTTCGTACTGTATGTTTCTCGGAAAAGTGGATGAGTTTTACCTGGAAGACAAAAAAAAAAAAAGAAAGAAAAAAAAAAAGAAAAAAAAAAGATTTAATCCTTAGCTGTAGTTTCCTTTTCATACTCATCATATAATACTTTTGGATCTGCTGACTTAAGTGCATATTTTTGTAACCAAGCATCCTCGGACCACACTAAAAAATTAAAATAATTTTTTTGAATTTTTAATAAAGAAATTAGTAAATACTAAATAAAAAAAAAAAAAATAATACAATTTTAAAAATTAATTAATTAATTAATTACCGGCTCGAACGCTCCCTTCTTTAATTCTCATGGGTCTTGCCAAGTTAACTTTAATTACTTTACCGTACAATTCTGATAGATTCATATTATCAATAGCCTCTTGAGCATCGGCAGCTTCTTCGAATTCTATAAAACCGAAACCGCGATGCTGATTATCTATAAATATAAATCATCGATATAATAAATTTTAATAAATTTAATTATTTATTATTATTATTATTATTATTATTATTATTGGGATTCATCAATTTAAAAACTTACGAGAGGCTGGATCGGGTGGTATTTGAATTTCTACGATATCACCAAACGGTACAAAAGCAGCATGGAGAATTTTTTCATTAACTTGATCGTCCAAACCGCCTGTAAAAAAATACGATTTTTTATTTTTAAACATTAAGATTCACAAGTTTATATATATATATATATATATTTGATACAGATTTCCAATTACATACCAACATAAATGGTCGTTTTATTGGGATTATCTTTTATTTCAGTTGACATTGTATGAAAAAAAATTTTTTTTTTTTCGCAAACAGTTTTTTTTTCCAAATATTTATATAATGTAAAACCTTGTGTCACATGAGTGAAAATCGGGGGGTTTTTTTTTACAAATACATGTACTCTATATATAATTTATAATTCTCAAATAAAAATACAGGATTTTAATACAGCAAAACTAATATTGAATTATTCTTGAAGAATTAATTTATTATTTCCATCATTCCCTTCTACTACTCTTGGTGCAAGCTTAAGGTAGAAATTTAGTCCAGTCGCGATGAAAATCGCGGCACATACAACTCCAGGTGCGATAAGATCATCTATTTATAAATTGATTAATTTGTTTCATTTGCATCAAAATCAAACAATAAAAAAAAAATAAAAACAAAGAGAAAATAAAAAAAAATAAAAAAGAATTACCATATGGTCCAGGGTTCAAATTATTAATCATTTGATTTCTTTTATTAAATCGGAATAAAGAATAAAATAAAACTATAACACTAATAGATGTATATGATACAGCACAATATATAGCAAGTTTATTATCTGCTGCAGCCGAATTAAATAATCCCAAAGCCAACGATCCTAATAGTACGCAGAATCTCAACCATGAGAAAAATGTTCGCTCGTTAGCGAAATAAACTTTGGGTTCAACTTGAATAGGTCCTGTTACCTTCGGAGGAAGGAACATAATACGAGATGAAGTTTCTCGATCAGGTATTGAACTTTTCTTTCTAAAGATTTTACTGAAAGTTCTAAGTCCAATAGGTCTGTGTTGTATAACTTCTTCTTCACATTCTTCCCCTTCAAGTAGTGGCGTATTTTCATCATGATCTTCGTCATCAGTAGTATAGACGACTGCTTTTCCCTTTTTGTTAATAACAATATCAGAGGAATCATCATTAATCTCAACAGTTGTTTCCTCTGAAATAATGTCCTTTGGAAGACTAGGTGTAATCATTGAAGGCATTGAAGAAGATGATGCTGCAGGTTCTTCATTAGCCTCGGATGGTTGACGTAAAGTTGGAGGTTTAAGAATATCTTTATCAATATTAGGCAGCTAGAAAAAATAAATATAAAAATTATTAATATGTAATAATTAAAAGATAAATCCAACAAATCAATAAATTACCCAATAGGGTAGAGATTGTGCTTGAGAGGTAAACAAAGTTGCAACTCCGTGAACATATTTTGAAAATTGTGGGGCTGCTTCGACCTAAAAATAATCAACACAAATATTTTAACAAAATAATAAATTATAAATATTTAAATAATGAAAATAATATTTATATATATATATATATATATACTTTTAATAATAATCAAAAATAAACAAAAAACCTACCAAATGGCTTGATGCTAATTCTTGAACCCAATCCGGTTCTAGTTCGTTTTCACTCAAATTGAGTTTCACTTCTAACACAGCGTAGGGAAATTTAACACATTCCGAAGGTGGTAATTTATTAAAATTATCATCATCAATATCCCTTCTTCGCCAATCCTCATTTCGTCGACGATTTGAATCATCCGAATCACCGAAATTATCTTCACGAATCATGTAAAATTGGGTATCAAAGGAAACCCTAACACTTGAATCGCCGGGAATTTGAAATGCCATACGATTATAATATGTGCGAAGAACTATTTATATATATTAAAATTAATTAATAATCAATAAGTTTCCATTATTAAATTATATTAGAATTATGTGAGGTTTAAAATTCTTATAAATTACAATACCTGGTTGTAATTTCTTTTCTACAATGGTATTTTGAATTTCTTTTACCAATGTTTGAAAATTTTGTATTTCTTCTTCAGTCGTTCCAGGATGTTCTTTCATCTTTTCGAGCCTCTTGTCCAGCGAATACTCACCTTTCAAGAGTGCATTTGTATATTTTTCTTTGATAGCAAACCTTTCTTTTATTTCATCATCTCCTTGACGAACTTTTCTTTCAACAAAAATATCATTTGATGGTACTTTACCATACCACCTTAACCTAATAAGTTGATCGCCAGGTTTACGATCAACTTTATCTTGATAAAGTTCAAATGAATCATTATCAAAATATATAGAATGAACTGAAGAATCTGTTCCAGGTTTATATATTAACACTGGAAGGTGACGTAGAATAGTGGTCTCAACTTCCACAACATTATCTGGATGAACCCAGAATTTACGTGATTGTCGAAAGAATTTTTCTTGTGATGGGAACAATGGAATTATGTTTGAAAAATTGGGAGGAATTTCATCTCCTCCTAAGCCTCTTTGAACAATATGATAAAGTCGAGAAAGATTTACGATTACAGGTTCAAAAGTTTCTTTATAAAATGGACACGCGTTCAATCGAACACTGAACATCGGACGAAGGAAATAACGCGTTCGTCTAAGATAATAATAATTAATCAATTCAATTAATTAACAACAGAAATGATATTAAAAAAAAAAAAAAAGAAATAATCGTTTAATGGGATAACCAAAGAAAAAAAATAATAATTAAGAATTACCTATCATGCTTCTTTATAATTTTTATGATGCCAGTATAATTTAACCTTGCATATTTTGCTAGTTCATTTAATTCTTCAGTAATTGAATTGATTTGACGTTTAATATCACTATAAGTTTGATGAGCGTTTAAAGACCGATCTTTGCTTACGGACTCAACAATCTTTTCACATGATTGAACGCGATTTTTTATTTCTTCATATTTAGTATTCTGAAAAGTGTATACCTAATTTCAAATTAACAAATCTTTAAAGGTTAAAATTTTCTCTCTCTTTTTTTTTTTTTATTTTTATTTTTTTTTTGTATAATAGAACAATCACTAAAAAAACGAATAGAAACGAGACGAGTATAAACGAGCATAAACGAATATATAAGTATATATAAGAATATAAACGAATATAGGTGAATATAGGTGCTTGCATTTTTTACCTTTTCTAATTCTTTATCTAATTTTTCGAAAAAGGCTGTTTCGTCTTTGTCAGTATATCCTCCTTCCCTTTCTTCGCCTTGCTTAAGAATTTTCTTTAGACCATCATAGTCAACATAATAATTTTTCCACTCAAGGTGTAAAGTGGCTTTTATTTGACTACCAAACTTCATATTTGGAATTTATATTTTTTTTTTTTTTTTGACGACAAATTTGAGATAAGTTTTTTTTTATATATAGAAATTATATTAACGTATTTTAAAAAAGCATTATTTGATATTAAACCTGAATTCGTGAAAACGCCAATTATTTTTATTTTTTTTCTGAACAAATTTTGGTGAATTTATAATTCATTTACCAAAAAAAAATATTCCGCGAAAACACATGATGAAATTTTGATAACGGTAATTCTACAATCACATAATCATTCCCAAATCTGGAAGTTGCATAATTATGATAATCTTATGCGCCTATTTTCTAACTATTTAAGCTATGGTTGGATTTGGCGTTCGTGACACTTATTGAAATTTAAAAGTTTCTCGAATTATAGGAATGATAGTAGGTTAATATATACATAATAAAAATGTATAAATACTATTAATACATCAAAATACAATTGTTCAACATAAAAAAAATTAAATATTCAGGATTTTGTCGTTGAATGAATAAATTGTAATAAGTAACAAAAAAAAAGAATCAACTAATCGTAAACCAAGACAACTAAACATTATACAAGGGGGTTGGGGAGATATATATATTTATATTTATATATACATATGTATATATAAAATATGTAACATTTTAAAACTAGTTTGATCTACAAAAAGAATAAAAAATACAAATTATCGAAATATATTATAATAAATTATGAAACTATAAGAGTAATTATAAAAAATAAAAATTATAAAAAAAAAATATTTAAAAAATAAAATTATAAAAAATAAAATATTATAAGAAATAAAATATTATTAAAAAATAAAATATTATAAAAATAAAATTATAAAAAATAAAATAATTATTAATCAATTTAAATTAAATTTCTTAAATTCTTAAAGTCTTGGGTCGCTTAATCCTAAATCACTAATATACCATTGGAAACTCACATTTTTTTAATTTATTGAGGGCCTCCATTCTGCGGCGTATTATTACCTCCGTTGTTGTTGTTGTTATTATGTGAATTATTATTATTGTTGTTGTTATTGTTGTGTTGTCCACGATATCTATTCTGAAAACGTCCACGTCCACCACGCCCGCGTCCCCGATTCGATCGATTTTCGTAATACCGATCTTCCTGTTTGTGAATCTTAAGTGGGGTCTGATTTTCCTCTAATTGCTGATTAAAAATAAAATAAAATGAAATGAAATGAAATGAAATATACAGTATAAGTAAGTAGAATGATGAATTACATTTCAACCAAATATAGAAAGGTAAATTAATAAACAAACCTGGCCATTTAATTGGACTGCTTTTTCAAGTGAAGTTGCATCTTGTAATTCCACATAGCAAAAATTACGTTGATCACCTGACGCTCGATCAAACATCATCCTGACATTTTCAACCTAATTGAACAAAGTCAATAATTTTTCAAGGTCTAATGTAAAAAATGTAAAAAGAAAAGGTAATCAATTTACCTCACACTCGGCTGAAACGAATAAATCTTTTATTTCTTCTTTAGACACAGGTGGTGTTAAATTACCAACATAAACGCAAAAAGGATTTTTCTATATTTGGGAAATCAATAATTATTAATTTAATATTTGATATTTAACATTTAATGGTTTTAAAAAGAAGTAATTAAATATTCTACCACATTGCGGCGATTATTGTTATTATTGTTATTATATTGGTTACGGTTTTGTTGTGCTGAAGTGTTGTTATTATTATTATTATTATTATTGGTCGGATTCTCTTCGTTATTTTGATTAATGCCATTCGATTGAGGTTGTGATGATGAACCATTTAGTTCCGGTTTTTCTTTCCAAACAGTTTCTTCATTTTGCGTTTGGTCGGCCCAACTTTCGGTTTCTATACTATCAGGGCTATCATTAATATTATCGGAACCATTTTGTTCTGTAGTTTCATTACAAATAGTATTGCTACTGGTAGTAGTTACAGTGTCATTGTTACTACTAGCTTCACTTCCGTTTGCTTTTGATGGAATTCGTTCCATATTTTGACCTGCTGGAATTACCTTCCGGGATGATGATGATGATGATGATGAATCTTCATTTGGAGATGATGAACCATCATGATTCCAAGAATTCATTGGTTGTTTCCAGTTATTATTAATTTCAGGTGATGTTATGGGTGATGATGTTATTTGTGTAGTCATAATAGGTGATGTCCCTCCATTATTATGCGTTATTTGTGGGTGAAGAGCAGGAGACTGAATCCATTGGGTTGTTTGGCGTCGAGTTTGTCTATCTGAAGATGGACTAGTAGGCATAATACCATTTGTTGCTGTTGGTGTTTGTGTCCCGCCGACAGATGAACCCGCTCTTCGATAGGCAAAGTTAAAACCTAAATTAAATATTATATAATAAAAATTATTATATATATATATATATATATATATTTTTAAATATCAATTATATCAATTATAAATTTAAAATTGAAAGAAAATAACCTTGTGCTTTTGTCTCTGCTGAAACTCTTCCGTCCTTTACATCTAATAATACCCAACCAAAAGCACAATCAGGTAAATTAAAATTCCACATATTTTTGAAGGTGGGTTCTTCCCGTCCAGCTGTAGGGACACGATCAATGACAGTAAACGCATAATTAAGTAACGTCCTCTGTTTATCACTAATCATTATGTCCAAAATTAATAAATAAATTATTATTCATCATAACAAATGAAAATTGTTATATTTCCAAAAAAAAATAATATCATACGATAACGTACTCAATTGAACCTTCAACTTGACTTCTAACGGATTCCCACATTTCATAAAAACTTTTCCGGGAATTCTCTAATTTAATACGGAAAGATTCTTGATCTTGAACGGAAAATTCATTATATGATATACCATAACGGAAATGAAGCCCCGCTGAAATAGTAAAATCAACCTAGAAAAATAAACCTAAAAATTTTTACTTTTCTACGCCGAAATTATTTTTTTAAATAAAGCTATAATTCTGAATTCACAAAATTCCTTACACGTAGAATAACCGACAACTGTGCCAAAAGTCCTTCGCGACCGGGACTTGCATGAGTAACGAGAACTCTCGTTTCCGTACTATCATAGACCTTAATAAATTATAAATTATATTATTAAATTATATTTTATAAATTCCGAAACAGAAAAATTTTATTACTTATTATAGACTTACTTTTTGAGCATGTTCCACCAATTCACCTATTTGCAAAACCGTTGTCCACATAGTTCCAAGACCTCCAGCAATTGTAGCTAAACCTAATTTATTGTTTTAAATTAATAATAATATAAAATTAATAATAATATAAAATTAATAATAATATAAAATTAATAATAATATAAAATTAATAATAATATAATATTAATAATAATATAATATTAATAATAATATAATATTAATAATAATATAATATTAATAATAATATAATATAATATTAAAATATTCCAAAACAAAATTTCTATTATAAAAATTATAATAATTACCTTCGCCATTATCAAATAATTTATGTTGAACTACTGCTCCACCTAAACCAAATAATCTCAAACTTACTCCCCCAATATCAATTAAATAAGAATTCGCCTCATCCAAAATATACAAATTTGGCACTTTGTATGTACCCATTCTAAATTTTTCTAATACTGTGACATCCTCACATGCTCCCCAAACGGTATACACTGGAACCTTAAGACGTTTCTTTCCTTCTATGAAGAGAGGAAAATCGGAAAGAAGGGGCGTGGATGAATTAAAAATAGTACGTCGTAATTCTGTGGGAGATGTACTTTTGCTAAGAAGATGTTTTCTTAACTCTGCCGGTATAATGGTACTATATCGTACAAGATGAAGCAGAGTCCTGAATGGATAAAAATATATATATATATATTTATAAATTTTTTATTAATATACTTTTGATATGACATAATATTACATAATATGAATCGATATGACACAAATGACTCAATAGCATACAAAAATTGACAGTATAGAAAAAATCTCACCTATCACTGATTCGATCTAAACTGGTATTTTCTGTAAATGAAAAGAAAATTTCAAATGAACTGTTTTAAATCATAATAAATAATCTTTGATAATTCTACAAAACTTCAAACGAATATAACGAAATATAACGAATATAATTCTCACCATAGAATCCAAAATCACCAGAATGAATAACAGCAGTGGCACCAGTTTCTTCGGCAAGTTGATTTAATTGAGAAATATTACCTGCAAAAAAAAAAAAAAATGAAAAATAAGTATAAATCACGAATTTTCCTTAGCTTATAGTTAAGAAATACACGAAAATAAAAGAATTTCACCTCTCACATCTGCCACGCAAATGATTTTTCCGGCTTCTGTATTAATTATATTTGAATTTCCTAACGGAAGATTAGTGGTATTCACTGTAATTCCGTTCGGGACGTTTCGCGGTGTGCTCTCAATATGATTCATTGAAGGTTGTTGTTCTGATATTAAAGTATTGTAACCTGTGGAAATTCCTTTGACAAAAAATAAAAAAAATTATCGCGATATTAAAATAACCTTATTTCTACTTGCAAATTATGTGTTACTCAAAGAGCGCATTGGTTGCTACCATTTATTCCATTTGCTTGATATGTTCCACCTGAAGGAAAAGATGTGGTACCATTTGTTCCTGTCCAACGAGTTTGCGATGTTGAGGTTGACGCAGCGGTTGCGTTATAGTTTGATATTTCTTGAACTGGCATATTGCTATTTTCCAAATTTTGATATACTTGAGTATTATAATTTGAGTGTGGGACCTTCGAATAATGCTGCTCAGACCGAGAGAATTCTGTCATTGTACAAAAGAGAAACTTCGGATCTTTTAAACGCTAATGGTCGTGTATTTGAACTTTTTATCAAGTGAAGAAATTTTACTTTTCTTTTTTTTAAGTTGATAAGTAATGACGAGAACTCTTCGAAAATAATGTTAGGGTAAATATACAAGATGAGAATAATCGTGGGACGAAGAGTAAAAAGTCGCGAGAGTGAACTTAGAAAGTCAAGTTAACCAAAAGTCGAAAATTTTTGTGTCACACTCCGTCGTGTAACAGATTATAGAGTTCGGTTTTCCAACGCCATTCCCACTCAAAGTTTAGTAAAATCTCCCACACTTTCTACGCATGGCACTTACATATATGGTCATGTAGTTCATAATTCGTCGCGTCTTTTACACAGCCTCACTAGTAAATCTAGAAAATCAGGAAATATCAAACTTCAAGTCACGATTGCAAGTGTGTGTTAAGCCACGCCAAAAAAATTTATATTTTGATCGAAACTGATCGTCGCCTCGGTGTAAAATGCATTAAAAAGAACAATGTTTTTACGTATTTATTGTACAGTTTTTCCTTTGCATTATCATGAACAATATATCTCTAACAGGTATCTTCTTTGATGTGAGTATAACAATACATTTTAACCATTTTGTAAATTACCTTCAATCAATAAGTTTAGTATATTGTTATTTTTTTTCTCTCTTTACTAATAAAAAAAAAAAAAAGATTTTGTAACACAGATTTATATCAATTTGATCTGATCTTGAAATTATGCACAGAATTTAAGGGTCTCAAGACTAAATGCTACTTAAATTGAGTAATCTTTCTGATCTAACTCTATTAACTCAACAAATAAATCGAATTCTGATCAACTTAAATGACCTGCATATTGTTTAGGTAATAAAATGATCACATGCTAATACAAATCTCTAAATGTGATCTTCACACCTATCCATCTTCTTCATTAAGTTAAAGGGCTCATCACATATTTTTTAAAAGTCACGGTTACAATGAGATACTTATCAGAAGGACAACAAAATTTTATTTAAAAATCCTATTTTGAGCCATTAATTAAAGTTCAAAATTGATTTCTGCATACATTTGTGAAGTTTCAATATATATATTTATAAATTATTTAAGAATATGGACAACGCGGTCGCAAATCTTGGACAGAACGGATAACACCGCTTTTATTATATGTACAAATGCTACACATTCGTGAGATAGATATATCCAATGTAAACTTAATATCGTTTTTTTGTTGTTTTGTTTATATAAAATTTGTATTTCGAAAGTAACCAATAATATTTAGCGTAATCTGTGGCCAATAAAATTTTAATTTTGAAATTTTAAGCCACTTCGAAAAATTGTTTAATTTCGAGATGTCGAACTCTAAAGACTCCAAGGAAACTAGTACCGTTTTTTGTCCCAAGTATTCTGCCCCATGGTTCTATTATCGTCTTACAATCGTTCAAGCGGGAACAGCTGCCGTTTTTACAACTTTTCTTGTTACTCATTTAAGCGCAACAGCTCTAGCTTCTTTCGGTGGTATCGAACTTACCAATAAGACAATTGTTCTTGGGAGAGTTTATTATCAAAATAAATTCTTGGAACCCATTGTTGTGTTTGGTTCTCTTTGTGGACACATAATTGCGGGGATAGCTAAACGTGTAATCAAACAATATTGGAAATATAAAAAACAAGATCAACGTAAATTAATTGGAGAAGTTCGCATTAGAGTTGAAAAAACCACCGCCGATGAAACCGATGAACATGGAGGAGTACGTCAAAAAATCACAACAAAAACCACCACAACAATCACTGGATCTCATATAACAAGAGCACTAGTATTAATAGGTCAATATCATCACTTAACAGGATATCTTTTAATTCCATCCGTTTTAGCTCATGCACTTCTCAATCGTATTCTTCCTCGACGTCACTTTGGGGATTCATCAATGATTAATGCATCATACGTTACACTTTCACTTAAAAAATGGCCCCGGTCATCGTATCTTGGATTGACTGCCCTTATCGCAATTGGAGTGTACCACGTTGGTAGTGGTTTACCTGCTGTATATAAAATTTTGAAAAGTCTTTTGATTAAAAAGAATGGAGAAAAGATTTCAGAATCAGCAAAAAAACGACAGCGTTACATCAGAAATGGAATAATTGTATCAACAATTGGATTATTAATGGCAGGAATACTTGTCATTGGTGGAAAAATTGGAAAAGATAATACTCGAATTCCTTTACGTAAAGAATATTTGAAAGTTTATGGTCAGATTTATCCACAAAGTTGGGTGAGAGAATTGTGAAATGATTTCAGACGTTATTCATATTTTAATTTATTATTTTTATTCATCATGATTCATTTTGATTTATTCTGATATTCATTCTTTTTCTAATTCATTCTTTCATATGAAGAACATATAATTAGTTTAAGATATATAAAATTGCATTTGATTCTTATTTTGTTTACCATTCTTTAAATATTTTTAATATTTTTCGAATTACTTTATAGAGGAAATAGTATTTTTACAATATTAATAAATAATACAAGTTGTCAGAAAGCTAAAGAATATTTAACTAAAGATACTGAAAAATTTACGTCATCTATTTTTTTTTTTTGTTGAATTCTTAATTTGGTTATAATAACAATAATTGGCTAATAACAATAATTAAGCTATAATTTATTAATATTAATTGGGAAATGTTGAATTGTGTACAGATTAACAAATAAATTAGAGGAATGTATTTTGTGTTTTTTTTTATTTCCTAATTCAGGTAATTCAGGTAAAAAATTATTTAAAAGAATCCTTTCTTTGATGTACGTTTTCGATTTAGGATTTATTTAACAAAAAAAAAATATATATAAAAATAAAGCTTTTATTAAATAAACTTAAAAATACTCTTAAAACGAAAATTGAAAATTATTAACAAAACAAAAGTGTAATAAGAAAAAAATTTTTTTGGGTTACCTTATGACTTCGGACCTTTTTAAAGAATACATTATCGACGAAAACGAGTTTTCTCAAATTCTCGAAGATTTACTTTCAAAGTCAGTCACCCTGGATAATAATACTTTTAATAACGCTGCGACAACTGCAGCTCAACAACAACGTCCAACACCTTTAGGTATGTCCCCTCTCCTCAATTTAACACAAAAAGAGAGTGGGAATACTAAAGATTACGTTAATGATACCGTTTCTTCTTCTTCTACTTCTTCCGCATATCCTCCACTTGCCCAAGATCCACAAAGGATTTTACGTCAAATGATTAGTCTTTGTAAACACATTTATTCAAGAGGTTTTATTGAAGGAAGTGGAAGTGATGTAACGATAAAAGCTTTTGATAAATACTATAATTTACATAGAATCATTCTTTATCAAAATTCATATTTTTCAGTATTATTAGAAGGTCCATGGAAAGAACATGGTCAAAAAGCAATTGGACTTCGATTTGACGATGAAAATATTACGCGTGACGCATTTGAATTTGCTTTGGGTCGTTTATATGGAAAATTTGATGAAGTAGTATTACCATCTCAAGTTATTAACCTTCTAGCCACAGCATCTTTTCTTGATCTACAAGATTTATGTGAAATGTGTGTAGAAGTAATATTAAGGGATATTAAAGATGATACTGTAGTAGATTATCTTAATTTCGCCACATCTCATTTTTATGGACCTCATTCTGAAAAAATTACCGAATCATGTTTCACTTATTTATGTAGAGAAGGATATGATAACATAAAACTTGAACCAGCATTTTTATCATTACCAGCAGAATGGTTAAAAAGAGTGATAGAAAGTGATGCATTTTGGGTTCCAAGTGAATATGAAAGATATTTATTTGCAAAAAATATAATTGGTAAGCGAAGAAAATTATTAGCCGAACAAAGACGAAATCTATCAATGTCGAATGTAGAATTATCGGACTTAACGGACTATTCTATTCCATCTTCCCCAACTATAACAACCACACAAAATTTAAATGGACAATCAATTGATAATACCTATAACACAAAACGATCAGCTTCTATACGTTCAATATCATCGTCTTCTTTACATATCGAAAGGGATGAAGCAATTTACACGGCTATTTTTACTTACGCCATTTATTATGCACACATGCCATATGAAGAATTAAAATCGATTTTACACGATTATGATTCAACTACAAATGTATCCTATGCGCCTGACTTTGTAGTAAAGGACGCTCTATGGCAACAAATTGATCTTCGTAATAAAATTGAAAATTCATCAGAAACAGATATTACTTTGGGTATTTCTTCTTCTGAAATACCATCCAATTCGACAGGAGTTCATTTTGAAATTCCTTCAGATGATACGACACATATAGGAGAAGCACTTACGGGATTAGATGATGTTGGTGGAAATAAAACAATGAAAGATGGTGAAGGTAGAGGAAGTGTTGAATACTCATTGTTTGCTCCTTTTAGATTCAGCGCGGAATTTTCAGATGTTGCAAAATTAAAAGAAAAGCAGAGAATGTATTCTGAGACGAAATTTTATGCAGGGTATTACATATATCAATATTTTATATTTCTTAAACATAATTATATATACAATTATATATACTTATTATAACGGATTTATATAAAGGTCTAATTGGAACATGTACATCCTAAAACAAAAAAATCCTCGAAAAGGTACGCAACTTGGAGTATATTTGCACCGTCATTCAATGCCAGATCCATCACCAACCAACAACTTCAAGAGTCCTAACTCTTCTCCAAATTCAGAAGAACGATATTCTCGCCTGATGAAAAATAATGATAATAATGAGGCGAGCTTTTCGCGATATGCTGATAAGAGGAGAACCGTAAGGACTTGGTTTAAGATTCTTTGCCCAGCTCGAGGTCCCAGTCACATATTGACCCAATTTCAAAGTAGCCCTGATGATTTCGCAATAATGCAAAGTTGGGTGAGGACAAAAATTATTTTTCATTTTTTTTATTTTTATTTTTTTATTAATCTTCTTGACAAATAATCTTCTTGACAAATAACCTTAACAAATAATCTTAACTAATAATCATCTTCACTAATAATCTATTCTATATAGGGTTGGAGAAGTTCAAGTCTATGTCAAGATGATTATCTTTTGAGTGTTAATGAATACAATAATTCTTTATCTAATTCACCTACAACATTAAAGTTTTCAGTGGTAATGGGACACGTGTAAATATATATATATATATATTGAAATATACAATTTACACAAACATTGTTCATAAGCATTTAATATACTTTCATGTGATAATAATTTTTTTGTATAAAATTTCAAGATTTTTTTTTTTTAGACATCTATTATTTTTTATTTATTTAAAAAGATGATACACATGAATTGAAAAATAATGATAATAAAAATTGCCTTTTTCTTCTCTTTTTTCTGTAAGCGAAGTATTTATCTCAAACTGGATTTACATTTTCAACAGCACTTGCATTTTATAAACGGATTACATAATCGTCAATTCATATTAAAAATTATTTTTGTCTTTCTTTTCTGAAGTTGGCTATTAATATTAACATATACTAATTCTTTTTTTTTTATTTTCATTAGAACTTTCTCTTATTTACAAGGCTACAAGTGTGCCAGTGTCCTTTTTTTTCTTGACTTGATAATAATCTATTTTATTTTTCGTCTTTAGGAAGTCCCGAGGTTCCACCAAGTCATGTAACACACATGTAATGCAGACTGCAATACCCACCATTGTAAGCTGTATGTGCTAGTTAATGGTTTAAAAAAAGGAAATTTACAAGAGCACATATTGTTGTGATTTCCTTTTTTTGAATTTCACCTTTAATGCTATTGTTGTTATTGTCTCTGCATTTACAGTTACCACGTGCCGACCTGTTACGAAAAGAAAGATATCGTATTATGGGCGTCGAAATTCAAAAAAAAAAAAGAATATTAACAAGGGTGTTTATTGTTTGTAACTTCTTTTTTAAAATTTCGATAGCACGTAGAGTTATGGATAATAACATAAATTTCTTCTTCAACCATTATTCCTTCAAGTCTTGAAGGAATATCAATAATGTTATGCTTTGATTTTATCCGTATTTCCCTTATTATAAAGATTTAAGGTATTTAATATAAGTAAGTTTAATTATATTAATCATATTAATTACACTACAGTTCAGTTATATAATAAAAATAATTTTCATAAACAGATAAGTGCAACAGATAGTTTCTTAGTTTGTTCGATCTCACCTACAAATTGTCATCAAAGTGACCCATATAACATTTTAAGAAATTACAATGCTTTTTTCCAAATGGTGGTAATGTGATTAATCACTCACATCGTAAAACTCGTGAAATAGAAGGCTAAAACAATAAATTTTAAAAACAAATCTCGTGACATGTTTCATTGAGTCATTCGAGAATAATCTCAACGAGAAATGATCAACATGTTTCAAGAAGAAAATATGGTTCTTTCATTAATCTACTAAAAATATTTAGACCAACATATGTAAAATAAATGCTAATGCCATAATTTTTAACGTGGTGTATATCTTAATTTCTTTTTTTTTTCAGAAGATTTTATTCTGCAATTCTTCCATAACTGCCATCATTAGCTTTTTGATCGAAAAGTTTTCCACTATGACATACATATTCTGCTTTACTATCCTTTCCATCACTTAACTCGCTTGCAAACTCAAGTGCCTTCGTCTTATTATCAAATGCACAATGAAACTTGACATAATTCACTTTGCAATAATCATGATAATAGTAAACGATGTACATCTTTTTTTTCTGATTCGAAGGTTTTCCAGATGCGTTCCGTAAGAACTGCCCTTGGCATAGGAATCATAGTATTGTCCTTTGTGATATACATATTGAACACCATAACCTTCACCTTCATTAGCTAAACTTTTAGCATATGTGATAACACCAGAGTTCAAGAAATATCTTTTTCATATTGACATTGAATTCTTTACGATAGTCATGGTAGATATGACAGATATAAATCATAGTATTTAATCTTTAGTAAGATAAAAAATACATATTAATTTTACTAACAGAATAGTTACCAGAAGCGAGATCCTTTGGACAAGAAAAAGGTAGAAATAGGAATACTTCGTCCAAACATTATAATTAAAGATCGGCTATTTAACATATTCTATAATAACTCGATAAATTTTGATGCTAGAAATATAATTTAACCATCACTATGAAGCTTAAAATGAGAGCTTTCGAATTGTATTAAGAATATCATAAAAATTGTTCCCGTTGCGAAAATTAAAAGCTGAATAAAATATAAATACTACAGTATGTACTCTGAATGACATTTTATTATTGTACAGAAAGTAATTTCTAGTGAGTAATATAATATATGGTAGCAATTACAAATAGAATAGAAAATACAGTCGACCCCCCCCCCCCCATAATCACACAGTGTTTGGTCCCTATATAAGTTATAAGATACTATATTAAAATTCACTCGTTATAAGAACTCCCCATTTGTTGGTCCTGGAGGATGTGTTTATAGAGTAAATATAATGGTTTTAGTATCTTTAAATATTTTTTAAATATCAATTTAATAATATGGATTTTAATTTATTAGATAATAAAGGTAATTAAAATATTTGATTACACTATTCTTCTTATTGGGTGTGCTTCAGTATTAAAAACATAAGTGTCTAACGATATCAAATCTGGTGGACTAAATAATAAGTACAGATATTTTAATGTTTCTGCCAAGAAGAAACTTTTAAAAATAAAAATTATAAAAATTAGATATAAGAATAAATACATTTTTTTTGTAACAATATACATTTATAATAATATTAATGAATTACCTTTCCATACTATCATTTTGAATGACTTCTTTGGTATTCACATTAAACAATCCTGAATATCCTGAAGGTGTTTTGCACCATTTTTCTATAGACTAATATTAATAAAAAAAATTGAAATCAAAATAAATATCTGAATAAATATTTGAGCAAATATCCGAGCAAATAAATCTAATATAACTTTACCTGCCATAATTCCCAACCTTTCTCTTGATATTGCTTGTCACCTGTTATTCTATACAATATAAAGAGACTCTCAATAGTTTCTATAATTTAAATAACAGTATATAAATAAAAATACTTTCATTTCAAAACAATATCAACTTGTAGTCATAAACACTTACCAGGTCTTAATATATAATATCTTGGTGACAATTGATCAATCCCATCTGGAAGATCAGAATTAAAGTTGTCTTCATTTTTTTCTTCTTCATGATAATATTTCTCTACAATCTTAAACCAAAGTTCCTCAGCTGCAATTCCTGTCTTCGTTATTCCATATGACCAATAACATGTTTCGACTAACCTTTTTGCAATTTTAAGGTCTTCTGGTCGATCAAAAACTTTTGATCCCATAGCTAACATTCCAGGAACAAAACATGACTATTTTTATGTTGCCAAAATTGATTAATATAATGATAAAAATTAAAATGAAGTTTGATATATTGATGAAAGCAATGAAAGCAATGGTTACCAAATGTCCCATTTTTCCAATAAATTCATCATAAAATTGTAATTCCCCGAGAAATAATAGATCTGGACGTTCTTTTACTGGACTTGGCTTGATTAGATATTTATACATGCCTTCGATAGATTCGATATCTTTTTGTACAAAACATTAATAATTTTTACCATTTAAATATTGCAAATATTATAAATTAAATACGTAACAGGATAATATTCAACAAATTACTTACACATATTTCGGTATTGATCAGATGATCCACTCAATAGTATATGTTCTTTAAGAAGATACTTTGTTGTTAAAAAAAAAGAAATATGAAAATATATCAAATATAATAATATTTATTTATATGAATATTAATGAATATTAACGAAATAATACCTCAAAAAAACTATCTCCCATGGCTCCAAACGACACTTGCTCTAGTTAACGATTAAATTATCGAAATGAAAAAAAAAAAAAATCTTCAAAATTTTGTAATTTATAATAATTCTTTTACCAGTCACGAATTCGCCGGTTACTAAATGGTTGTGAATAATAAATAATAAATTGATTTTTTTAATTTTAATCCTTAAAATAATTTCATCAATTTCATTGAACAATTTCAATGATTTCAACAAATTCATTCAATAATTACAATAATTTCTTACTTTGATTAATTCTCGATGGAAATAATCCCGGAATCGGTTTTTTTGCATTGAAAATAGTATTTGTAATATTATTAACCTTCACATAATAATTGGTTAAATTTATGATAAATATATATAAATAAGCCATAAATAATTAATTTGATCTTTGACAAGAGAATATCACATATCACTCACTATATAAAAATATTCATCTTCACCTGTTAACTTTGCTAATTTCGTAAATTCCAAACAAGAAGATCCCACTTCGGCCAAAAAACCACCTCCATTAGGAGGTTTATCAATTCTTTTATCCCTATAATTAAAAATATTAAATTAACATTCATTCTTTTAACCAATTTACCAGATTACATACTTTTGACACTTACGGATTCAAATGTACAAAATTATAAGGTAATCTGGTAGGAGTATCAAAGGAAGGTAATAAAGCTTCTCCTAATTCTTTTGCTTTCTCTAAAAAAATTGGTTCTCCTGATAACTCAAAAGAACTCAATAATCCGCCCAAATATCTAATTACAGTTTCAAATACGTTTGATTGATAATCACTACTGGTAAAATTCAATGTTTTTACAAATTCCCGAGATTTATTAAATTCATCCTTTAAATCCATTATCCATAAAGTATCTAAAGAATCAATAATTGTGGCTCCCCATCCATTAAATTTATTTCTACTTGTATTGCTAACTGGACATAGTTCATCGTATCCCCATGCATATTTGGAATAACCACGCCAAGCATGAAGAAACCCATTTTTAATAGAATCACGACGTTTTTCCCTGATAACTTTTTCTTGTGTAGTTTCGATAATGTTATTAAATTCATATTGAATTTTGATTTGACGATTGATATGATAATTTGAATTCAAAAGTTGATAAACTAATAATTCAAGGATAACTATAAAAATTATTGTGCGCAGTATACGATTTCTCAGCCAGAAGAAAGGACTAATTAAACGTAATTTAATAAAGTTCATTTTTAAAAAAAATTTTAATATTCGAGAAACAGATAATATCTATTATAAATATTATCTAAAATAAAAAAAAAATATTTACACACAAGTTTTTAAGTTTTTATGCGCTTCTTTTTATTATTTCGTTCATATATTATGGATATCGCTTTTAGTGTGGTGTTTCGTAGTTTTACTATTTATATTACTCTTTTTTAAAAGAAACTCATTTTAGGATACATCAATTTAGGTTGTGACAGTATTGGTTAGAATCACAGTAATCCTCTCACGAATAAAAAAAAATTTAAAAAAATTAATATAGTAATAACTGTATATTGACTAAAATAAATTGTAATTATTAAAAATAAAAAAAAACGCAAGAAAAAAAACAAATCAGTATTATACATCACGATTAAATCATCGAATAATGATGATTTTTTTTTTCTTTATTAATTACTTTTTTAAATTTCTATCTATTATCAAAAAAAAAAAATATATATAATACAATAAAATTTTTTAATCATCTAGTAAATAGTAAAAATCAATTTACTAATTTTACTAAATACATATAACAAAAATCATTCCGCAAAAAACCATCTTTTAATTCTTTTAATTGCACAAAAACGAAATTACCGAAATTTGGGAATTATTCTTAAATCTTAGAAATTTAATATAATCAGGTATTAGAAAGATTATTATTATTATAAAAACAAATTAAAAATTAAAATTAAAATTGTAAAAGGTAAAAAAAAAAGGATTTAAAAGGTATTAAATGTATTAAATGTACGAGAAAATTGTTCATAAAAGTTCATAGATTCGTTGATTAATAAAGCATTCCATGTTTGCATATATCGTTACACCAATTTTTGTTATTGATCGACGGTTACGTATTGCGGGTTGCTCTTAGTCTCCTTCGTTTGGATACGGTGGTTGATTTGAGCTTGGAAGTTTTTAACTTTTTCATGTTTAATTCTTCATCATTACCCCTTATTTTCTTCCTTCTTGGCATCAATTGTTCGTTATTCCTACTTTCCAATTTATTCACCTCTCCTTCAACCCTTATCTTTCCATCAATTGAATCGTTCTTTGGATGTCGTTTCTTCTCTAATTTAGCCAATTCAACCTCAATCATCCTCACCCAATCGTCACAAGTACCCTCTATTTGATAATCTATTATTCCATTCCATTCTCTCCTCACTACATCGGACTTATTTATTAATATGACAAAACCGCCTCGATCGTGTACAGCTCGGGAAAAATTTTTTATAAGTGCTTTGACTCCAGGAATTTTGAGCGAGGTTCCCATTATTATTAAGCAATCAGCTTTGGCTTCATCATAAGCAGCTAGTTGACTGATCTCATATCCATTTGGATGCTCATCACCGTACAAAAGGACCATTGGTTTTAATTTTCCTATTGAATGTGGTCTTCTCCCCTGTTTAAGTCGAGCATCCTCTAATAAAAAATATAATTTATATATTATTCAATCAATAATTTATCAAGTTTATGCATATTTCATGACAATTCAATGATTCAAGAAATCCGATAAACTATTAAAAGAAATTGTTCATTAATCTCGCGTTTTCTCGCGATATTTACCTCTCTGTTCACAATTGGGACACCAAGGAGCTTCCCCTTTCTTGAATATGTTACAATAATGGATTTCAAAGGGATAATTGTTCGTGCAGTTGGTACATCGGAGTCTTGCCATAGTTCCGTGAAGTTGTACAACTTGGGCGGAACATTTGGTGATTTTTTCTAGTTTCCAATCCACTTTCAGACCTGCCGATTCCTCAAGGTTATCCACGTTTTGCGTGTAAACCCGAGTTAATTTTTTCATGTCCGCCAACTTCTTTAGGAAATAATGAGTTGTTGTTGGTGAAGAACTCACAATGAGTTCTTTTAAAGAGCCCATAAACAAATTGAAAGCTTGAAGAGCTTCGTGGCTCGTCAGCATTTCTCCGTCAAAGAGGTCTTTCCCGGTACGAAAGATTCCGGGAAATTGTCTTTTGACTTGTTCATAAAGGCCTACTTCTTTATTACGGAAGTCCTATATAAGTGAAAGAAAAAAAGTTTAAAAAGGGTATATATTTAAACTAGTTGTCTTAATACATTTATTTCAGTTCAAAAAACGCGTTATTAAGTTGAGTTAGGCAACTCTAAAGTTTTTCATTTAACATACCGGGATTCCGCCACTAGTAGATATCCCGGCACCCGTAATTACGACACATTTTTTTGCTTTAGTAACGTGACGAGTAACTTCCTTTAGTTGTGGGCAGTTTATGTCTTCTAAATTTGTCTTTACAACATCCATGATGTTAGAAAGTATAAAGTTTGAATAGGGTTTTACGAGTAAGTAAGAGAAAAAATTGGTTTTTAGATAAAAAAAAAAAAAAAAAAGGAGGAGACGAACTAGACGAACTAGACGAACTAATTATTTATATTATCTAAAGTATTTATGGAATTTATAGTTATTGTAATGTGGTAGGTCGATAGATCCCGATGGACCGTAAAAAAAAAGAAACCGGGATCTACAGCTCTAAGGTAGCACCGAATAAAGTTGAAAAGATATTTTTATATTTATCAATGTGCCAGATCATTTGATGTAATTTTGTTATTTTTGATGAGTGAAATTATTTATCAGGAAAAAAAAAAAAGAGAATTTAAATACACAAAACACACACATACACACACACACACACATATTATTATTTACTGAATTATTATTGTTTTTTTTGTGTCCATAGTGGAAATAACCCATTAATGATATACATTAAATTGTTTATGTTTTATAAATTACACAAATACAACTAAAATAACAACTAACAACTTTGAAATACTTAAAATACTTGAATTAAAATAATTAAAATTGAATTAATCAATTGATAAATAATTGAAAAAAAAAAAAAAAAAAAAAATATTAAAAATAATTCTTTTTTAAAATTCAAAAGAATTAAACCCTCTCCCCACTTTGATTACATAAAATAATAAAATATTTTAATAAATAATGATATAACTCGGAAATTCTTAAACAAGAATGAAGGCTTGTGAAAATGCATATGTGTTTGTGTAACCTTGTTTAGCAAGGGTCGTCATTGGCTAATGAATAAAAATACTATGACGATACTTTACCTTTTATATCCTAGATAGTGCAAAGTGCAAAAATGTAAATACATATTCTTACATTAGTGAATCAATTAAGAAACCTTTTTATTTTACCTTCAAACAAAGAACTGATGTGACATTCAATGTGACTTCGGTTCAGTCAACTACTAACTAACTACCTTACAAAAAAAAAAAAAAACATCCCCGACATTATTATTATTAATGATCAAAAAGTCTATGCGATTAAAAATGTATGTAAAAACTTGTTTGACAAAGGAAATTCGAGAAAAAAACGTTAAAACCACCCACAGCCAAAAAAAAATATAATAAGAATAAAGGATAGAAAGAATAAAGGAAAGAAAGAAAGAATGAATGAATGAAAGAAAGAAGAAAAAAAATGAAAGAAGTCGGTCTAAATATTAAGGATGATGATGATGATGACATAATTTTAACGCAATAAATTGCTTGACGTTGATTGGTGAACAGAAAAACAACAATTTAATTGTCATTAATTACTGAGTAAATCTTTTTTTTTTAGTATCTCATTTGCGAATTTCTTGTTTAACCCCATTCTCTGATAGCATGTGATTCCGAGAGTCTGAACTAGATCCATTTGATTGGGTCTGGATTTGCATATCTTGTGATTGTGAAGACTCTTCGCCCTCTTTTTTCTGTCGTTCCATTTCAGCAATTTCAGTTGCCGTAAGGAAACGACCACCTGGCCCACGAGGACGACGCATGGCGTGTTTGTGTCGTGATTCGTGAAGATACTTCTGTAATAATAAGCATTCACAAGGTCAATTTATAATTGATAACAAATATACAAATTCAACCTAATACTTAAAATCAAATCAAATCAAATAAAAATGTGAAAATTTTATAAACCTTTCTTCCTCTCTGTATTTTATTTTCGGCTTCCAATTTTGCTCTGGCCGCTCTTCGTTTCAAAATTCTATGATACTATTAAATTATTTTATAATAAAATTTAAAGAATTTAAATTTTTGTCTGATAATCTAAAATGATTGTTGAAGAGAAAAATCCTTCTTATACCTGTTTGGCATTCACATAAAGTGGCTCTTCATGTTCTTCCATACCTGAGGAAGCTGGGGGAGGAGTATTAGTTGTACCAATAACAAATTGGTTAGGACCTGGGCTCATGATCTAAATGTTTGAAGACAGTCAAAAAAAAATGCTTAGTAATGCTCAATAATATAATAAATTTAAATAAAAACGTAAATAAAAATATAATTTACCATGCCATATGTTGGGTTGTATGTGACAGCTGGGAAAGGTGCTGGAGATGATTTGTGATCAGGTTGAAGAGCCTATAATAATAAAAGAAAATATAAAATATTTTCAATAATAAAATTTTATTTGTGTAAAAATATTTTATTGTGTAAAAATATTCTATTGTGGGTAAAAATATTCTATTGTGGGTAAAAAATATTTTATTGTGCAAAAATATTTTATTAAATAAAATATTGGTTGATAAAACTAACCGGATCCACTACAACTGAAGAGTTTGAATGGGCCAGATTTGCGTACGAAGATGCGATGTCATATTGTGCATGTTGTTGGTCTTGTTGTTCTTGCTGTTGTTGTTCTGGTTCTTGTGATTGGCCGTTAGTTTGTGAGTCGACTGGGCCACTCTCTGGATTTTCACTAGTTTGTTGTTGTTCTTTCATATCCATTTGTCTAATCTTACACACAAATGTCTCAAAAGAGAATGTCTATATACAAAACAAGTAGAGTTTTTAGAGCAGGAAGATGAACCAGACTACATTGTGATATATAATTATAGTCCAAAAGATTCAGTGTTGACATATAGTAAAGGTGTAAAAACATTTCGGTATTAAAAAAAAAAAAATTTTAAAGGCTCAAGGCTTTAGATGTCTACACTTAGTGGTTTACCTGCTTGTGTTGGTATTGGTGGTTTTTAGTCCAATAAGATGTGGAGAGTCAAACGAAGAATGAGTGGTGGATGGGAATGAAATTAATTATCAACAATCTTTTGCTCTTGATTTGCTGAAAGGGTCCATCACAGGGTATATATATCCAAACGCTTTGATGCTAATGTGATTAACTATAAAAGGAAACATGCGCTGGTTACCTACGGAATTAGTTTTTATTGGTTGCAAACTGCCGAAGAAAAATGAACGAATTAGCATTACATTCGTTGGACTTTCTGTATAACTGTAACCCCTACATGTTAAAAACTTTCTTAAATTAAGTTATTTAAATAAAATAAATGTTAATACCTTTTTTTAGAATGAAATTATATAACATAAATTATATTTCTGATCGTAAAGCAAGATTTTATTTCAAAATCAAACCTGGAATTCTTTTGTATATTATAAGTGATTAAATGTTCCATTATGTTAAATTTTTAATAATATGGTTTTTAATTTTATATAAATATTTTTTTTGAAACAAGTAACAAAGTGAAGATATCAAAAGTCAATAATAATACTTTTTAAAAACTTTTTTGATTAGTATTAATTTGATCCAAACAAGAAAGCAAAAGAGATAATTTTACAGTTTCATATGTAAAAGTAAATAAATTTACTTTATAAAAAGATTATCTACTATATATTTTTAGTATATAATCAGAAACTTATTAAAAATATTATATAATAAGTACATTTACATAGGGTTTGAATTTAAATTAAATTGGTTTAGATTATTTTTAAGCTAATTGAATCCTGCTGTGTTTTGAAATTAAAGTAGATGTAAAAATAATAATCATGATCTATTATTTACACTAGGGATTTTTGTGATCCATAAAACAGAGTGATATAAAAAAATCAAGAAAAAAATAACTATTAATCATCATGAAATAACAATAAATAAAAGTCTAGATAAATTATATATGAATAAATTATACATTAATAAATAGATATATTAGTAAAACTAGTAAGACTAAATCAAATGATAAATAGTAATTATGCAATGTTAACTTGGCACTGTCATCAATAGTTCCTGGCTCTACTGTAAACAAGTCAGTGAAATAATTTAATGATTCTTTTAAGAAATTTCACTAGTCAAAATCTGATATATCAGATATCTATCAAGTACTTATCTTCTTACAGATAGTTGTTTGATAAATATCTGATATCTATTTATATTACATCTATTGGATACCTGATAACTGTATTGGTTTTGCTAAATATTGAATACTTATAGTAAACTTATTAATTATATTTATTATATATATGGCACTTAGTTTTTAATCATTTTTTCAAAGTCAATCAGGTGTCTAATTTTTTTATTTATTATCAGGAATCTATTGGAAACCTATTGGTTACCTATCTGTAGTATTTGAAGCTGGTCTAAAAAAACTAATCCAACTAAGCTTATATTTTAAAATCGACTTAGTTAGCTTAGTCAACTAAGGTTAAAATTTTTAAATATATATAGAAATAAAATTTATAAACATGTCTTATAAAAATTATGTGAAATCATGTGTAAATTATATGATTAATTAGAACAAATTTTTATTATTAATAAAATTTTTTATAAACTAAGATATACATTTATAATATTTGAATTTTTTTTTAAGAATAATAAATCATAAACTATATTAATATTTAATCTATTATGTTTATCAGTTAAAATATTTTTTGCATTAGAAAGAAGTTTTTCAGATGGTACTGAAGTTGTTGACATATTCAAAAAAATATGTGCTTGTTCAGTAAAAAGAAATAATATTTTTTGATTTTTTATTTTATCAAATTAAAAAATTGTATTTTTCATAAAAGAATTTTCAATATCATATTTTAAAATTAGAGAAATAGAAAAATAAATTTGTAATTCAGTATTTATATTTGAAAAAGAATTTAAATTTTTCTAATTATCAAAAAATAAAGAAATATTATTAAATATTATAATTATTGTTTTAATTGAATTACTATTAAATAATTCTGATTGTATAATTTTTCTATATAACTTTTGTATTATAGCATTTCTCGTAGTGAATGTTATAATTGTTAAAGATTTAAATCTAGAATCTAAAATTGTTATCAACCATTTAGTCATTTTAAGATCTTTCTATCAAGTTACCAATGGTTCACAAATACATTTGTGTTATTATGATATAAAATATAACATTATAATTATTAATTAAAATTTCAAAATATTAGTAGTATCAATACATTATAACAGAAGATGAACAATTATTTAACTTATTATTGATATTTAAATAGATTAGTTAATCACATATAAAACAAACAATATTAATTAGTATTACTTAACATTTATTATTAATTATTTACATTTAATATTATTAGTTATTATATTAATATTATTAGTATTATATCATTTATAGTTATTAGCAAATAGTATTTTATAGCACAGTAGTTAAAATAGTATAAATATACCCCTTATTCCAAATAGTTTCAGTAGTTTTATATTATTTAATTTTATATTTTTATAACTTTAATTAATTATAATTCTCAAAGAATGAAATGTAATTATTTATATAAGTGTATATATGTAAATTTTTATTAAATTTACATAGTGGAAATGAAGTAATAAATATTATTATTCAAGTTAATAAATGATAATTTATTGAATATAATAAAGTGAAAGTGAGGATATTAAGTAAAAGTTATATAATTAATTAAATAATTAATTATATTTATTCTGTTCTAATAATTATTGAGAAAGTTTGATGATAAAGTATTTATTTAATACTAAAGATGATAAATGAAAGTTATGAATATACTTGTACACAAAATTATTTTGTGATCCCAAAATTACAATTTTAGGAAAAAAAGTCAAAATAGTTTTTCATAGAGGACAAAATTATTTTACTTAAAATTCAAAATTTTTTGATTATACATGTTCCCAAAATTGATTTTGAATTTTTGAGATATTTCGACTTTTTGAGATTTATACAAAATCTATTCTATATATGGAAGTAAAAAAAGTACCCAGTTATATGTATCTT